ATCAGAACTAAATGTCCAACAGAAGTACATCCATCTCGATGACAAGCAAATAGCAATAGCAGTAGAATGGTAGATGTCACATTGTCACGTATTGGTCACTGTCTTTTTTAAATTAAATTTTTTTTTTTTTTTTTTTCTAGGAAAACAAAAAGCATTAATGATGAGTGAAAAAAAAAAAAAAACTAACAATTATGAAAGCATAAAGAATATATTTTAAAATTAATATTCTAAAATATAATTAAATTCATTTAATACTTTTAAGTTCATTTAATTTACCATATAAAAAATATATTCTATAGGAAAAAAAAAAAAAAAGAAATTTAAGTGTGTTATTAAAAAAAAAAAAAAAATTCGTTTAATTGTCTTTCTATATTATCTATCTTTGCAATTATTTATTTCGTTTTATTCAATTGCTAAATGAAATTTTCTCATATGTTTGTCAACTTTTTCCAATCAATTTTTTTTTTTTTGAAAATAGTACAATTAAGCTTCCATTGAATTATTTTAGACAAAATTCTACTAAGCTAAAGGCTTATTTCTTCTATATCTCTCGCAAGCGTATTGATCTAATACACTTTACTTATGTTTATACTTTATTAGAATTTTCGTACGTAAAATATTCTATTCGATTAGCATCTGTCATTATTTGTAGGTTTTTTCTCATTTCACGTAATGTTTTTTTTTTTTTTTTCTTTTTTCACTTAACGTAATGTTAAATTTAACGTCCGCTATATAACTAATACCTTTTATTGATCTGTGCAAGCATAATTTTAATTTTTGTTGATCTGTGCAAGCATAATTTTAATTTTTATTGATCTGTGCAAGCATAATTTTAATTTTTGCTGATCTGTGCAAGCATAATTTTAATTTTTGCTGATCTGTGCAAGCATAATTTTAATTTTTGCTGATCTATTCAAGTACAATATTAACTTTTATTGATCTGTGCAAGCATAATTTTAATTTTTATTGATCTGTGCAAGCATAATTTTAATTTTTGCTGATCTATTCAAGTACAATATTAACTTTTATTGATCTGTGCAAGCGTAATCTATGCACTATCATTACTAAAAATAATTGTAAAGATTGTTTAAGTGATATTAGTGATTAATTTCACAAAGAAAAAATAAAGCTAAAATTTGATATTATTTAAAAATAATTGTTCAACTATGATAACAATGATATTAATTAATGATAATTGTTAGTTTTTATCATTATTTCTTACATCACATTTTCTTCCCTTTTTTCTCATTTTTTTTTTTAAAAAATCCTATTTAACAAATAATACATTAAAATAGTATACAATCATCTATTTTTTAAATTTTAAAACGAAATAATTTTTATATCTAACTAATAATTAATTCCATTTGAAAAAAAAAAAAAAAAAAAGAATTTACAATAAAAATTTTAAAATATTTGTCAAACTATATTTATACATACATACGTACACGTATACGTACATACATACATATAAATATATTACACGTAATTACACGTAAAATATTCTTTGTATATGTATACATATATGCTTATATCATCATCACCAGTTCATGAATTTTTAGTTGATGAGGAATTCATATCGATTCGAACAAATCGTTATGTCTTCCGTTTTCCTCTTTTCTTCTCCTTTTTCTTTCCTTTTTTTTTTTATTTCCATCGATAATAGTCTTTTTTCAATTTAACAGCAACTCTCCTCTATTCCGGCCTATTCTTCCTTGGCTAACAACAGAAAAAAAAAAAAAACCTTTAAAATGTTTTGGTAGCCTTAAGCTGTACACTTTGATACATCATCATTCTAGCATATACATCAAATTTCATTTTCTTTTTATAAAAATTTCACTATTTTATATTTCTATGTATTATGTGTGTGTGTATGTGTGTATGTATATATATGGCTGTGTATGTATGTATGTGTGTGTGTGTGTATGTGTGTATGTATATATATGGCTGTGTATGTATGTATGTGTGTGTGTATGTATATATATGGCTGTGTATGTATGTATGTGTGTGTGTATGTGTGTGTATGTGTGTATGTATATATATGGCTATGTATGTATGTGTATGTGTGTGTGTATGTATATATATGGCTGTGTATGTATGTATGTGTGTATGTATGCATGTGTGTATGTGTCCTATATACTCTTCATGAATTTTATGTATATCCCAAAAATATGGAGATAACATCATCAACATCATTGCTTTTTTTTTTTTAAACTTCAACAGTTCTCAACAAATTATATATTATACACCTACACACACACACACACACACACACATACATGCATACATTTACGTATATAAATACATACATACATACATACACATGCACAAATACACGCATATATTCACGTTTAAATAATATTGCTAAATAATATTGCATCTTCTAATATTAGTATAGGTGTTCTGATTTAAAAATTTTTCTTCAAATTTGATCTTTTTTAAAATCAGCAATTTTTTTTTGTAAACGTTATTTTTATTAAGTTTGGAAGTGACGTACGAGATGTTTGTTACGTGTTACGCCATTTATACCTATGTATCCACACGTAATATATCCTTTCTTTTCTTTAAATAATTATTTGTTAGTAATATATTCATATAAGCAATGGTGAAAATAATAAAAATAAAAGAATAAGCATATTATCATCAAAATTTTATCTTTAATTGTATGAAATATTTTGAGAAGAATTAAGCACATAAAGTTTATAAAAAAAAAAATGTTACGTGAAATACGTGAACGATACGCTAAGGTAATTACAAAGTGTTAATAATTATTCACAATAATTTCCTTGATTTTTTTTTTTTTCTTTTTAACTAATCATATTTAGTCATATGTACTCATGTAATAATTGATATTTGATTACGTATACTTTATCTATCAAAAATTATTCATTCATTAAAAAAATATTATTAAACTCTTAAAAAAATAAAATTTCAAAAGCAAAATTATATATTCAAGCAAATTATATATTATTAATGAAATTATAAAAAAATAAAGAAAACTGAGAAATTCTATTTATATTTGTAAATATTAATATCATATTGAAAGTGTATTAATCTATTTTAAAGTTATTATCATTGATATCTTCCATTATTTTTTTATATATCAATAAACAAATGATAGTATTCATACAATATTCAATTGATAAAAAAATTTTTAAAATTAAAAATGTGATTACCGTAGGAAGAAGACTTCAGATTAGCTTTTAAGCATAATTTAAATGTCAATATATAAGGAAAGATGAAAAGTGTTACATTCATTATTGCATTACTTGTTTACTATTTTGGTTGTTTGCAAGCAAATTGTTAAAGTGACGTATGTTTTAAATTTTTTCAATTGTTTATCGCTTTTTCTTTTTATATAAATATGTGAAAAATTTAAATAAGAAAATGAAATCAATTAAAATGAAGAATGAATGGAATAATGTTTCCAACTATTCTTTAAGTATGCTTTTAAAATCCATCTTCATACTTCATTTTTTTTTTTTTTTTATTTTCTAAAAATATTTTTTAAAATAATTTTCTATCTCGTCACAATTGCTAATCACTTAATTTATTCATTAGAAAGGAAAATATTATACTATTTAGATAGTTTCGGAATTTTTAAATGGCATACAAAAAAAAAAAAAAAACTAAAAATAATAATAAATTTCTTTCTACATAAATAGATAAAACATTGCTTATAAAATTTGTCTAAAAACACTGTAAATAATTTTAAATAGTTTATATCATCCAGAACAAAACAATTAAAAGTAATAATAATATTTTTATCCAATCAATATTGCAACACAAAGATTTATAATTTATATTTATATTTTAAAAAGTAAATTATATCATTTTTATCTCGTCTATTTCACTTTTTTTTTTTATTTATTTTATTGAAAATATCATATGTTATTGTTATTTCTTTCCTTTTATTGTGATAAACAAAAAAGAAAGAAAAAAAAAATGGAAAAAATTGATTATGATTCATCATTTTTCCTATTCTTTCTATTCTTGTAACTATTATATTTGATATGATATGATATGATATGATATTTTTCTACTCTTTTCTCTCTTTATTATCCATTGTTATAAATTTTTTTCTTTTTTTTTTCATTCATTAAATGTTAAAATTTTCATCTAATTAAAATATAATCAAAAAGCATTAGTAATAATTTTCAAAGTATTGCTAAGATTTTTTTTTTCTCCCAAAAGTTTCATATTAATAAAAAAAAAAAAAAAAAAAAAAAGGAAAGAAATATTTTAATACTTTAATTTATCATTTTCCCTACTCATTCTATTCTTGTAACTATCATATTTGATATGATACGATGATATGATATGATATGATATGATATGATATGATATGATATGATATGATATGATATGATATGATATGATATGATATGATATGATATGATATGATATGATATGATATGATATGATATGGTATTTTTCTACTGTTTCCTCTTTTTTTTCTCTATTTTTCTCTCTATCATAATTTGATATCGATAGCTTAATAAAGTGAAATATGTTATTAAAGAAATGTTTTGTTTAATTTTCTCAAAAAATTCCATGTTAATACTTTTTTAATTTTTTTTTTTTTTTTTTTATTAATTTTCTCAAAAAATTCCATGTTAATATGATTTTTTCTTTTTTTTTTTATTTATTTTGTTAAATCAATACAATTACCATAGAATTATGTTTACATTATATAATTCATAATGTAATTTCTAATTTTGCAATCGATTCATTCAAAACTGTAAATCAAAGATTGCAAAGATTACAGTAAATCAAAGATTACAAGAAATGATTGATTAATAAATTGATTGATTAAATGATTGATTAAAAAATCCATTTTTCATTTTCATTAAAAGTTTAACTTTCATTTTTTTTAAGCTAAAATACATATATTTTAAAGGAAAAAAAAAACAAATTAAAAATCAACAATTTGTTTATAATATAAAAATTTTTTGCTAATATTTTATTTTGCTAAATTGATAAAAATAATATTTGAAAAGTTAAAAGTAAAAGATAGAGAGAGAGAGAGAGAGAAAGAAAGAAAAGAAAATTTAGTTAAAAAATTGAGTGAAGAAATTGTTGTGTTAATGAATAATTCTGAATGAAATCGAAAAATTCTTCATTTCAAATTTCTAAATTGCAATTTCGTTCCCACTTTTTTCTCCTTCTCTCTCTCCCTCTCTCTCTCTCTCTCTCTCGCTCTGCTTGTTAAAATAATACATAATGAAAAAGTAATCACTAACCGTCTCGCTATCCATTTCTCTGCTAAAAATCAACTCATCACTTTTACTCTCATCGTCGAGAATTACTACATTTATGTAATTCTCTCAATGGTACTCCTATCATCTATCGTTTCCTCATCTACTTCACTATCTTTCCACTCTCAATCTCTAATAAATGTATTTTTTGAATTTTTTGTCGTTTGTCAAAAAAAAAATCTCTTTAAAATTAACACTATTTCCTTATATGACGTTATCTTTGCCAATAAATTAACGATTTAATACATCGTGAAAATGTTTCATCTCACTTGTATCAATTGTTTGAGTGGTTGATAAGCCTTGACGAATTGGAAGAAGGTTTTGTGATAAGAAAATGGCTTATCACCTCGATATCATTTTGTCCTGAGAGCAGCAAGAAGATAACAATTGATACAAGTAATATCTTTATCATTAAGAGATGACAAACTCTCTCTCCCTCTCTCTCTCTCTGTCTCTCTGTCACATTGTTAATCATCAAATTATCTATTTGATATTCATAGATTTTTTAATTAATTCAATTATAATATTTTAGATAAGCCATTGCTTTTAATTAAATTTTAATTCCAAACTTTCTATGTATTTAAGTGTAAAATTGTTATAATTAAAATTATGCAAATATCAATAAAATTTATACTTCTGGTAGCCATTAATATTTTCTTCTATTTTATTATTTTCTAGGTGTTTTGGTACTGGAAAAATTGTGAGTCGATTTTATACTATAATTTTGCATTCTATTCTTCATCTCAATGATATTCGACATGATTCGATGGAAGTTTCTCAAAGCTATTTGATACTTTTATATTTTTGTTTTTTTTTGGATTTTATAATATTTTTATTTTTAACGATCTATAATAATGGTTCTGCGACCGTTAGAATTTGCGGATTGCCTTTCGGATACTCCGTGGTTTCGCCAAAATTTACGTGAGCATGAAAGTGTTTTGGAAGATGCTCATAAAAATATCAAAAATATCGAAATACAATGCCGTGAACTTATTCATTGCACAAGAAGTAAGTTTTACTGTTTTCACATATTTAAGTTTTTATTTTTTACATCTTTTGTATTCTCAGTCACCTTTCTTTACACTATTCTGGTTCCAGTTTTTCATTTTTCTTTCTTTTCAATTTTTATCATTTCTTCATTCTTTTTTTCTTTTGCGTTTTTCTTTTTCTTTTTTAAAGCTAGGAGGAACTAGAACATAAATAAAACAAATATTTAGCACTTAGTTTTGATATCACATCAATCCATTAATTTATAGTTTAAACTTATTTTTTCATCAGATTAATTTAATTAAACTATCTTTTCTTCATTTTCCATATTATATAATATTTGTAAATGTCAGGAAAGTCTAGATTAGAATTTTATAGATGACGATTTATAAATACATTTTTTTTTAGTATGCATCAGAATAGGGAAGATATGAAATATAATTCATAATTATTTTGCAGAACTTTCTGTGGCTCAAAGAGCATTTGCAAAATCATTGAAAGAATTTAAATTTGTCACAATTGGTAGTACTCAGACAGATGATGAACGAAAAATAGGTTATTTTTTTCTTCTTAATTCTTCATTATTCTACCCATACTTTTGTGAATTATGAAGGATAATGTAGTTTGAGATGCTTTCATACATTTTTATTGCTATATAATGTTAATATAGAATGATAGATAATTTTTTTGTACCTTGTAGCTGCGTCATTGCTTAACTGTAGCGGTGAATAAAATAAAATAAAGCAATGAAATTCGACGTCTGATTTGATGCATGTTTCAATTTTGTGACAGAATTTCTACTATTGTATAATTAATTTATAATTACTGATAAATTATCATAATAAGAGCTTAATTGATATATTAGATTTGCAGCTGAGTGTGTGAGCAAATTTGGAGATTTTATAAGTCAGATCGAGGATCATCGCGAAAAAATCATTGAAGATTCGGAAATTCATTTTATCGAACCATTACGTAAATTTCGAGTAGAAGGAATTGGCAAGGTTACTTTTGATTTATGAATAGCGATTGCATTCATGTTAAATGCATGTTTGCATATTTGGATGACTAGTCTGTAGATCAAGGTAATATTACTTGTTCTTTGTCAGATTATTGTTTCATGCTTAATTTAGAATAAGTATAGTTTCCAAGGATTTCAAATTCTGTCAAGTCTTAATGCTATTACAAGATAATCATATATGTCTTTCAAAAATGCAAGTTAATTTAGGTATTACATGATGATAAAAAAAGATACGAAAAGGAATCCAATAAATTTTATGCATCACTCGAAAAACATTTGCATTTATCAACGGTAACTTTTTCTTTTTTTTATTATCTTTCTTCTGACTTTTATAGGCTGTTATTATTTTTTTTTTTGTAAAATTTAATTTCCTGCTATATCTCTTCTTTCATTAGTAAACTTCTACTTTTGCTAGCAAAAATTAAAAAATCTTCCCTGATAAAATCTTTTCCTAATTAAAATTTCCACCACGATTTGAAATAACTTTGAAAGTATGAGAACATACAAAATACTTGGAAACTCCAGATGAAAATGATAAAACCATTTGCAACGTATTTAGGAAATCTATGTTAAACTATTCTTTAAATTGAAAATTTAAAGGCACGGAAAAATGATTTCAAAGAAGCAGATGCCCAACTGGATATGCAGCAGCGGAATTTCTGTAGCTGTTCGCTGGACTATGTAACAGCGATACAAGCGGTTCAAGAAAGAATGAAATTTGAATTTGTAGAGACGCTATGCTCATTCGTATATAGCTGGCTTACTTTTTATCATGTTGGTAAGTGTTAATATTTTTCACATATGAAAATTTTTTTCTTTTTTACACGGATGTAATAAAAATTATTTATGTTTTATTAAAATTTGTATTGCTTTATGCTTCTGGGTGTCACTGTAGAAAGCATCGTTTCTCATTGTCAAGCAATAAAATCATTGTTGGCAATGATAAGAATCTTTTTAGGTCACGTAACACATGAGGATTTCAAGCCATTTCTAAGTGAAGTGCAGTCAAAAGTTCAAAAGGTCATATTTTTGTGTTTGTTTGGTTTATAGATATCCATTTTCACACTGTCTTTTATCAACAAAGATATTGGAGAGAGCACCTTATTCGTTCGAATTCATTTTATGCGAATTTTTTTGTTAATTTTTATTGAAAATAAAGAGTAAATTTTAGGCAAAAGAAAGCTTCGAGGAAACAAAAGAATATTATGTGCAGCTCAAAGATAAAATGCTGATAAATCATTTGAAAAATGCAGTAGGTTTTGATTTTTGCAAGAATTTTAAACGTTTTATCACGAAATATTTGGATGTCTTTTTCAAGCGATCCAAATGTATGAAATTAGAAGTTTCATTTAAATGCTAGATTCCTTATTATTCAATGTTCAGCTGTCATATCACGAAAGAGTGGAAAAGTGACTTTAGGAAATTAGAATTCATCAGATAAACTAATTACTTACTGATATTTTTCAATATGAGATCTAGGTTATCAGTTGCTGGGTAGATGTTTCTAGGGGCAGGATTAGCAAAAAATTTAGGCAAAATTTAATACAAATTAACCTTGTGTATAAATCGACTTTACGAATTTCAGGTATTTCAAACGGGTAAAAATGACAGTGATAATGAAAATCCGACGCCTCGAACCGTTTCTAGCATAAAACAAGGCTATATTTTTGCTCATGAAAAAAGTAAAATCCCAAGTAGGTTATTTTCTATTTCTTAAAAACTTGTATTACACGAAGACATGTTTTTTGGAGGAATATGTGACATAATCACATTATCTATTTAATATTTATAGTCACATATTTGTTTCCAGAAACAATTAGTAGAGATGTTTTGTCAAATCGATGGACTATGTATTATTGTGTATATCAAAAGGAAACACGAATATTCACAATGATTCCAGTAAATAACACAGCAAGAACGGTTAGTAAAATACTGTAGTTATAATTTTTGGCAATTTGTTGATTATTAAAAATGACAAATGAAATTTTGGAATGATCTCAAATCTTTGAAATGTTTTGTTTTGTTTTTTTTTTTTTTTTTTTTTCTAAAAAAAGGTCATGAGGAACAGTAGAACTCACAGAAGTTGATATATATTGTAAATTTCATTATTAATTTAGTTTTATTGCATATTGTAAAATAGGTCATCTTAAACTGTAACTGCCATGCAACTCTGTGTGACAGCTATTATCAAATCATATTTTATGCAATTTTTCATCCTAAATCCAGGTTCCATTCAATTTTTAAAATTCACTAATTATTTTTCTTTGTTTTATCACTTAAGGATATGAAAGGTGCGCTTGGACAATCTGTTTCTTTTAAACTGAAGACATGCACTCGAAGGGCCTCAGACAGTATTGATAAGAGGTTTTTTTTTTTTTCCTTTTTTCATAATACTATTAAAATTTCAAATAATAATGTTAATCTATGGAAATAACTCATATAATATGCATAGTTTCAATCATTAAGGCATTCTATACATTTTACTTTCTTCATAAAATTATTTTCTAGGTTTTGCTTTGATGTCTTAGCAATGGATCGTACCGAGCAAATGACGCTACAAGCATTATCGGAAGAAGATCGTCGACAATGGCTTGATGCTATGGATGGAAGAGAGCCCGTAAGATTTCATATCATTTGACAACTTTATAATTTGTAAAATATTGATTTCAAATATGTATTGGATTTGCTAATGTTATGTAAGCAATGTGTACAACTCAAATTTTGGGCGTCTCGAATCCTCATATTTGCTGTATTAGCAATTAACAAAATAACTCAAATTTGGATGACTGAATTCAAATACTGTTTTGAATCTGTGTTTATAAGACATTCCTAGTGCAATAAAAACATTATCTTTAAAATTGAAATATTACAAATGTGAAGGTAATTTTAATTATAATGAAAAAACTGATCTGATATAGTATTTGTTATTCAATGAAAGCTAAGTATGATGCGAAAAATATTCTAAGGATTAGCTATGTATGAAATATTTTTGATATTGCCGCTATCTGATTAGTGTTCTAGGAAATTGGATATTATCTTTCTGAATATTGGATATTAGCTTTTTTGATAATTATGTTGTTATTGAATAAAACAACTGTGCTTTTTTTTATTTCACTTCGATTCATTAATGGAGTTAAAATCATATAAGTAAAGTGTATAAATTCTTTTTTGCACTTTTTTTTGAAAACATCATAATAACACAAACAAATTTCAGATATACTCACCTGGAACAGGACCAACATCAAATTGCCTCGGAAGTAAGCACTTTTTTTTTTCGTTTTATATAACCAATAGCAAAACTAAATTTGTATAATTCTTTGTTTTTTTCTTTTCTTTCTCCTTTTTTGATCATATCTGTGATGCATGTATGTTTAGTACAAATAGTATAATGATTCTTGCATTTTGCAATCTCAGAACTTTTTATTGATGATCCGTTTCTTATTGTTGTTTGCAGTTTTTTCTTTTAGTTGTTTAGTATCAAAAATCCTAAATGATTTAATTCTTTTATTGCAAGGTTTTTTTTTTTTTTTTTCTTTAAATGAGTAATTATTTTACTTTGATTCTTAAGCTATTTGACTTGTAGCTCAAGGTGAAGTGAAATCAGATCCACCTATTTACCAATATTTTATCTATTCTGTTATTCTTACTTTGCAGTTTTTTTTTTTTTTTTTTTTTCTTTTTGTTTATCTTCAAAATTTAATACTTGGACATAATATGGAATGCCGAATCTAATGATGTCATTACATATATATTAAGCTCTCATTGTAATCTCACTAATTCCACTGGTTAAATCATTTAATCCAGTTTGACATTTTCAGAATCCTATAATCCCTGGATATTGTTTTTGTTATTAGCGGTAGTTCCTTGAAATTTTAATTCATGAAAAATTTGCGTAATTTCTTTTTTTGTTTTTGGATGCATTCATGAATTTTTTTTTATCATGAAATTAAATTGGAAGAAGGAGAAAAAAAAAAGAAGAATGACTTCTTTATTTCTTTTTTGAATGCTTAAAAAAAAAAAAAAATTAGTTATGCATATATCTACTACATCTGTTAGACATAACTACATAATCTTTTATGAAACATTTTTTGGGCATATAAAAAAAAAAAAAAAAAAAAGAACCATATAATTTAAATGATGTGGAAGAAGTGAAAAAGTTTATTTCTAAACTTTTTGATCATATGGAAGAAATAAAAGAGATGAGAAGCGATAAATTGAAAGATGAAAATAGGTAGTACTTAGTTATTTATCATAATATGGTATTGTATCTCTTCAAAATTTGATCTTATTCAGTTTTTTTTTTTTTTTTTGTTTTTGTTTCCTTCCTTCCTAAATTTCAGATCATTTTTCTAATTTTCTAATATTTTTGTTTTGTCATTTTATTTTACCACATCATTAAAATAATTCTTAAAGAATTTAACGATTTTTGTTTTTTTTTTTTTTTTCTTTTTTATTATGAACTTTAAGATCTTAAAAAGAGTTTTTGGTTTTTTTTTTTTTTTTCTTGCCTTTTTAGAAGAAAAATTAATTGAAATTACCAATTTTATGTCAATTTGTGATATGTTATGCTAGGCTCAAAAGTATGTTTGCTACAATGCTTTTTTCTTTTTTTCTTTTTTTTTTTTTTTTATTTATGATTTTGCTGCTATTGTTGTTTTCATAGTTATTTTTGGATGATGATGTGCTAGTGGTAAAAAAAAAAAAAGAATTAGTAAAAGTACTAGCATTAGCTTTAGAAGCATATTCATTACATAACGCTGATTGCTGTTTACTTCCTTACATTCTATTACATTTGTATAGAGAATATGGTAAATTATAAAAATTTTCAAATAATTTTGTTCCATGATCGATAAAACGATTCAATTACACCTCAAATATTTTATTCGATTTTTTTTTTTTTTATCTCAACTTTTATGCTCATGTTTACATGCTTTCATTTATATTATCACATTTTTGAATTACATAACAGCAAGCTATCATTGCTAACCAATTGTTAACATTTCAAAGAAAAATGTACCTTTGAAAATATTTTTCCTATTAAATTGAGATTGAAATTTAGGAATTATTTTTTGCATATAATTGAATAAATTTACTTGAAATTTCAATTTGAAATTTTCAAAGAGAAATCAATCGATGCAAAATTAGATACGTGTTGTTTTTTGTTTTTTTTTTTTTTTTGTTTTTTTAGAAGATTTGGGTGCATATATGCATTCCTTATTTCGTTAAGTTTACATTAAATGTAATAAATTGAATGGTAAATATTGTAATTTAGACTCTTTTAAAAATATTTTTCAAAATTAGTCTTTTTTTTTTTTAATAATAATTTTAATTTTTTTTAATAGTATAATTTATGTTATCTGATTTACTTTTTAGTATTAAGTTTTGAATATATAAATATAATTAATTTATGGTAAGAATGTTTCACTTTATATTATAAAACTATATCATGACGAATGAATTTCTGCATGATAGTTCGTTTCACTGTTAGTGAAAATAAAATTATTATCCATAATAATAATAAAAGAGTATTTATTTATATATCAATAGTTATAGAAGTACTCAATCAATAAATAACTAAGTAATGAATTGGTCAATCTGATCATTAGTATTGATTGTGAAAATTTTTGAGCTGGAATTTTATGTACAGAGTAAAGAGTAAAGATTACAAGGAAAGATTTCAAATTTAGAATAGTTTTCTTATGAAATCAAAGTGTGCTTTGTTGTGCTTTGTTTAATTTGCAAGAAATTCATCGAAAGAGTATCTTCTATTTTCTTATGATAGATAGAAGAGATACTATTGCTATAATACATTAATTAATTAGATTTAAAAAATAGTGATGATTATACATTTTTAACCTATTATCAAATTTTACTAACTTTTTTTTTTTTTTTAAATGAAATTCTTTTTAGTCATTTTGTTGTTAGTTATAAGTGACAGTTGTTATGCAATTTCATATATTTCATTCATCAGTATGCGAGAATTTAGAAAAGCACTGAGATGGTGACTGGTGACTGATTGTTGATTGACCAAAGTTGATGCGACAGCATTATCTTCACTTTCAAGAAATTGAATAAATGCTAAAAGCTTTGATAGAATATGATTTCATTTATTGTTTGAAGTAATTTTCATATTAACATGTAAACATGAAATAATCACATGAAATTTTATGTTAGATACATTTATAGAATTTTATTTATCTCTCATTGACATTCATTTTATTTTATACAATTATCACTTTTATTTGGCCTAATCGCTACCGTAGTTGCAAAAAATCATTTATCTCCTTAAATGTTAGTAGTTTACACTTTATCATGAGCATTTTAATTTAAATTTTAGACTTACCTAATTTTGTAAAAATAATTACTGCTCTCTCTCTCTCTCTCTCTCCTCGACAGAGTTTTGTAGCTGAGAGATGGAATTGAATTGAAAATATAAGCATATATCTTCTTTTTTTTTTTTTTTTTTTTTTTTTTAAATAATGCGATCTGTTTGCTAAGTTTTAAGAACATTGGTGCACATATGGTTTCTCCTAAATTTCATCTTCTTAAAATGTTTTGTTCAAAATTTTGATTTGCTCCAGAATTACTTCTTCTCCCGAGAGGAATTTCTCTTTTTTTTTTTTTTTTTTTCAACTAAATTATGTCAAACTTTAATAATTGGAATTTTTTTCTCGTGTCGAAATATTTCTAAATTTCTAACATTAACTAATAGAGATAATGTTAAATTTAATAATTATAAATTATATAACATCTTATATTACTACATAGCTATTTTTATATATCTTTAACACATAGTAACGGTTTTTTTTTTTTTTTTTTTTTATTTTTACTCATATTTCTTTGTCTCATTATGCTACTATAATAAGTTTATTCTTTTGGTACCTTGATAGAATGAAAAATGATAAATCTTCAAATAATATAAAATATATTTAAGTACAAATCTTTATCAAAATTTACGCATGTTGGTTATGTTGAAAAAGCATAGATAGGTACGTATTAGGTTTAATTATTTTTTTCACATTGTATTCTACATATGATTGTTATTTTGGAAAATAAATTCGGTAACTAACAACATTTATTTAAATCATTTATAAAATTTAATTTCAAATCTTTTCGAATATTTTACAACGTCAATGATATTTATTATTTGCTTATTGTTATTGTTATTTGATATAGAATGAATGAAAATATTTATCTTCAACAATATTGATAAATTATCTTCATTATAGTTGTAAAATCATTTTTTTTTTTTTTTTTTAAGTGGTATTAATATTATTGTAAGAAAATGTTTTTTATGAAAGAAATTTTCAATCATAGAAATGTATACACTCACTTTTTTTTTCAAAGATTCATTCATTTTCATGTCGCATATTAGTTAGTTATGCTAATCTTCATTATTGACGTCATTTTTTAATGCAAAATGAAAGATTTAGAGAGTGTGGAAGAAATTCAATACTTCATAGAGGCTTAAATTTTAAAAGAATTTAGACATCTAAAAAGATAGACTAAAAATATGTATTCAATGCTTATTAGGCCTTCTTTTTTTTTTTCCTCTCTCTCTCTTTTTAGACATCATTATTGGTTTCAGTTTCATAAAGAAATATTCTAGCATCAGCAGCAAACAACAACAGCAACAAATATCACTAGTATTAGTAATAGTAGTATTACTACTTTGATAATATTATTATCATAAATGATAAAATTTATCTTTAATCATATATTTTTCTGAATGCAAATGTTTGTATTCTCTTCTTTAATCATTCATTTTCTGCTTTACTAAACATTCAATGCGTTCTTCATACGCAGACTTTACCCATTCTTCGGGTATTACTAATCGTCTTGATCGTACCTCAACAACTTACAATTTAACCCAAGGTTTGAGAGCTGTATATTGTGGTAGTGCATTTTTGCCGGCATTTGTATTGGATGAATGCCATGGTATTTTTCTTTTTCTTTTTTTAAATTTTTATTTAAAATGAACAAAGTTTTTTTCTCCTTATATTTAATCTTAATTAGATATATTTATTAATTGGTAGTCCTTTTTTTTTTTCTTTTTTGCAGCAGTTTTGGATGATAGTGGTTTCGATTTTGTACGAAAATGTATAGAAGCAATCGAAGAAAAAGGTTTGTGAATTTTGAAGAGAAGTTAAAAATTAAATTCGAAAAAATTTAAATGATACATAAAAAATTTTCACAGGTGTTTTAATTCTATGTTATCAAATTTGAAATTATATTTTCAAATGTAAAATTATGCTATTTGAAAAGCGATATAATTATCAGTTGCTGATATTTTGAGAAAATAAGTTGCTATCATTATTAGCAATGATTGGTAATAGCTTTTCCACTTCGACAATTTTAATTTAGTTACCATAGAATTTTTTTTTTTTTTTTTCTTTAGAAGTTACCATATTGAATTATTAAAATTTGATCAACCTATTGTATTTCTGACTCATTGCACTCTAATTTCTTCACTTTATCAATTTATTAAAAGCAAAAAATTGATGTCTTGTGATACTTTTACAGTATGGATAATACTTATTTAATGCGTTGGATTTTAAATATTACATTGGTTGATATGTTAAGACTAATTAAACTTTTCTAAAATCATAGCTTTGGCTTAACATCTGTGTTTTCTATCGCATTATTTTTTATTTTTTTTTTTCCTTTCCTTTGCAAATTAATTATTTGTTTTCAAGTGATAATGGCACTTTTACTTTCAAAAAATAGAACTTTTTTTTTTCTCTCCCTTTCTCTCTCTCTCTCTCCCTTCCATACACTTCTCCTTCATTTTCAAACTGAAGAATAAATTAAATTAAAGAATTGTTATTGAAGATGAGGAAAAGATTTTAATTCTGCAATACAATCTATAAATATTTTGGGAGTGATGATGAATTGTAATTATTAACTTTTTAGTGCTGTATTATTGGAAAAATTAAAAATTTCAACTTCATTTAAAATATTATTTTGTTCGCTATATGCTGTTAGCTTAGAAAGGATCATAAATTAGTTTTTTACAACAAATTTAAACAGCAAACATGCGAAAACATTTCATACATATGTTTTAAACTAATGTCATTGCTCAGTTTTTAGATTTATATCATAATTTGAAAGTTTGAAGAAATTCCCTTTTGCAACTTGTTAACTGCTCAAATATTTTCTCATCCTTTCTTGACATTTCTTCGTTTTTTGTAGTCAGTGAGAAGTATAAACATGCAAACATATATTAATTTCTGGTATATTTTTGTTAAAAAATATTAAAATTTTTTTTTTTTTAGGGATATGTGAGCAAGGATTATATCGAAATTGTGGTGTTACATCTAAAGTGCAAAAGTTACTGCAAATTGGATTAGACAAACGACGTTCCATATATGACAAACTTAGCTTTACAGATGATGAATGGGAAATTAAAACATTGTCAAGCGCTCTTAAAACTTTTTTAAGGTTTTTTTTTTTCTTTTTTTTTCTGACATGTTGTAATGCTAATCACAATTAAAGGCTAAATGTGTTAGTCATATTTAGTTTTTTTTTTTTTTTTTTTCTTTTTTTGTGATCAAGGATCTAATTTATTTTAACTATACGTAATTATTTACACTTATAGTATTACGTTTACTTGACTTTATTGAAAATTATGATAATTGTATTTGACATGAAAGCATTTTTCTAACGGTTTGAAATGAAATGATGAAACTGATAATTTTGAACATAGCATTTACGCAACCACTGAATGTTTAATTTAGTATTATAGACATTCGAGTTTTGTTGCATAATTTCTCACGAGATGCCAAAGTAATTTATTTGACTCAGCCTTGTATAAGTAAATTTTAATATAATTGAGACTTTAATATTTTCCAGGATATTATATTTTTTTTAGGAATTTGCCAGAACCACTTATGACGTTTGACTTACATCATCACTTTATTAATGCCGCCAAAATGGATTCCAAAACACGTGTTTCCTATATTCACTATTTTGTCTATAAATTACCGCAAATACATTTCGAGATGTTGCAAATTATTATTGAACATCTTAAGAAGTAAATTTTTCAAGCTCTTTAAAAAGATAAAAAAAAAAAAAAAAAAAGAAGAAATTATTTTTTAGTTATGAAAATTAAATTCTGCATTAAATTCCAAAAAATAACATTATCAAATTTAATTAATATTAGATGTATAAAATTAGCTGATGATATCAAAAAGAATTGTACTATTATTTGCAATTATTTTACGATTGCTTCACTTAATTATCTATGAATTTTTTTTTTTTTTTTCACTAATTTTCAATTTTATTTCATGTTTTTCTTTTTTTTTTTTTTTTTTTTTTGTTAAATTACAGAGTGGCAAATCGTTCCAGTGAAAATCTGATGACAGTAGGTAATCTTGCTGTTTGTTTTGGGCCAACATTATTAAGGCCAAAAGAGGAAACAATGGCAGCTATTATGGATATTAAATTTTGTAATGTAGTTGTCGAAGTGCTCATTGCAAATTATGATCTCGTTAGCTCTTTTAATATTTGTTGCATATTAATGAGGAAGTTTTGTCCAAGATTAAACTTGCTAATTAAGAGAGATTTAACTGTGGAAACAGAGAGAGAGAGAGGGTGGTAAAGCTAGGAAAATAATGCATTTAATTCATTTAGGAATTGTTAAGGCTAGAAAATTGCTAAGAAAAAAAACTATTATTATCTGTTTAATTTCAATAAAAGAAAAGTGGTATAGGAAGTTGTAAGCTGTTACATGAATATTGTTCTTGGTTTATGTTTATTTATTATTTCTGTTTTTTCTTTTTTTTTTTTTCTTTTGATAATTAAAAGTTAATTTTATGAATTTTAGTAGAATATTGGTATTTATTTCCTTTTTTTTTTGCAGATATTTAAAAATAAACCAAAAGAAATTGATAATATTCCTTGTCCAGCAAGGTCCAACGATCAGGAGGAGTTCATAAGTGAAAGCTCTTCTTTTGGTGAAACTGGTACTGGTCCTTCTATTGCTTTCTCAAAACAGCAAATTGTATCAATTTCTCAAGAAGAAAAGCGGTAATTCATCTTTGACAATTCTTTCTTTTTGCTCAATCCGTTAAAAAAAATGATCGTATGAAGAATAAATTTGAGTTAGTAATGATCACTAATTCATGAATATAAGGGAAATGAAATTAATTATTTCGTTGATTATATGAATTAATAATTGTCATTCATTGTCGAGTGATTTATATGTAAAATAAGGAAGTGAAGATTAATAGTTAAAAGACGACAAACATAGCATATGACTATTTATATAGACAGAGTTAAAATTAAACTTTAAGAAATTACAAAAGATTACAAAGATATTTGATAAAGGAAAATATATAAATCTTATTACAGATCGCAAGCAGAAGGTACATCAATTTCCAGTAAGCGTCCACAAACAATTGCCAGTTCAAGTAAATGTCAACGTCCTCCTCCTATTTACGATAGAGTGCCATATTGTTACACTGACAGTAATGATGGTATGTTTTTATTTGTCATTTGTTACTATATTTTGCATCATAAAGGTTTAAAAATTTTTTTTTTTTCTCCATAATTAACTTTGTGTGTTGATATGGAGAAATTTTTGAAAGATTCTTTGCTAATTTCAGATTAATTTAAAATTTTTGCATTTCTTAATTTTTCATTTATCTTCAATAAAGCCATTAATGAACACATTTTTGTGCTCGTATTGCTAAAATTATTAATCAATTTCATATTTGCATAGAAAAATTAACAGAAAAATATTTTCTACATATTTGGACGATAAATAATAGAAATAATTGCAAGAATTGACTATTAAATATTTAAATTTATGTACACATTTCTGAATTATAATAACAGATTTTGAAGATTTAAACATGAGTTCATCGAATCGTTCAATGCATACAGCAGCATACAATAAGCCGAGCACTTCTGCTGGAACATCACCTGTCACACCGATAGCTAAGAATAGTTTGACATGTTCATCTTCTGCACTTACACAAAATACCACAAAGTGTCAAATGAGACAGCCTTTACGTGGACAATCTACTGCTCATCTCCGGTTTGTTCAATTTTATATGAAAAAAAAAAAAAAAAAAAGATCGAAAATTACTATTAGAAATATAAGATTTAAATTAAAAAAATATTCTCAAAAATGACTGGAAGTTTTACTGCAAATCTTAGCAGTATTTGGTTTATTAAATGAGTACGGTTATTTGCCATTAACAAAATTTTTTTTTGTAATCCTCATTCTTATATTAATTAATTTTGTATTTTTTATAAGATATTTTATAGCAAAAAAACCTGTTAGTTTAAGTATTGAGGTTTTTTTTTTTTTTTTTTTGTTATTTCAATGGATGGTAGTTTATATAACAGAAAAGTGTTACTTACAATAAAAAAAAAAGAAAAAAACCTATCATTAAACATGGATATCTCTCTAATAGGAAAATTAGCAAAAGACTATAATTTCATCTCATATTATTCGAGATCAATATGTGAATGATTTTTTTACACCACATTAAGCATTTATTAAAATAATTTTATTTATATTTAAAATTCAAATTTCAGAGGTGCCACAGAACACGAACGTCGAACATCAGTTGGGAAAAAATGTGCGGAAAGTTGGGAATCATTGAATTCAGCAAGTACTGGTTCGGATCCATTACCAAATGAACGGTTCCGTCATCATTATCCTAAAATTGCTCAGGAACGGCATACTACCACCTCCAGAGGTTACTATCTTTTTTTTTTTTTTTTTTTTTTTTGTAAATTGAAAGATTAAAATTTCTTATTTGCTGTAAAATTCTTCAGCTCTGATTTGGCACAAAAGCTGAAAGCTTCTATTTCTTATAAATATTGTAGAATGGGAAATTTGATTTTTTTTTTTTGTTGTAGAATATGGAAAAAAAGAAAAAGTAAACATATTTACAAAAAGATTTTTGAAATAAAAATAGGAGATAGAAAGAAGCTAAATAAAGAATTTTTTAATTCTTGATTTTTGTATTGAAAATGAAAATTGCATATGAGATATGAAGTGATCATTAAAATTCGAAGCTGTAATGTAATGGTTATAAAATATCACAATGACTATGATATTTGAATCATTAAAGCATAATGTTATTTCTTGCAATTATTGTACCTAAATTTCCAAAACTAAATTAATCATTTCAACTTCTTTCAGTCCAACCAATAAAGAATTTTGAAATCCATTATTTAGATCTTAGCCATTGAATTTAAGAGAACTTGTAAAGTATATTTCCAGTACCCAAAGCTAAGATCATATTATCTCAATCAAGAATACCACATCTCGAGAACAGACATACAAAAGATCTTTCGAAAACAGAAAAAACAAAAAAAACAAAAAAATAAAAATAAAAAAGGATAGGATTTGCTTAAGATGTTGTATTATACACCATCGTCTAACATTTCTTATCAAATGTGCTTCAACCAAAACTACAGTTTTTTTTTTTTTTTTTTTTCTATTTTTGATCATAACTAACTCTAATAAGAAGGTAGAACTTTTATTCATCTGTTTCATTAAAACATATCATTTGCTTACCTGTTAAGTATTTTGAAGCAAAGTTTTGATAATCGATTGCTTAGCTTCTTGTGCAAAGCTTAAGCGATATATAATAAAATAAAGTTATATTTATTGTTGTTATCATCATTGATATTCATATTTCAGCTAAATTGAACACATCGTACGCTCCAGCATATAATCCATTTTCTTCTGAATCGTAAGTTTGTAATTTTAAAAATTTTTGCTGTTGTTTTTTTTTTTTTTTTTTTTTTCTTCTTTTTTGTGCTATTTGTATAATTTATCCTTTCTTGCTTACATTTGTTTATCTATCTTCGTGTATGTCTTATTGTTCCTTTTTTTTTTAATGTTTATTTTGCATAATAGTTACACTGAATTAAGCATGTTATAACTAACTCAGACACATCTTCTGTAAATGATAATTATAAAAAAAATTTTTTGGATTGTTCTACAAATTTTCATTTCTTAATCTCACAAAAACACAGCAAAATTTTCTTTAAAAAGTTTGCACAAAAATTTTTGGTATAATTTTATAAAATTAACGGAAAGTAATGATTGGCAAGAAAAGAATACAGTTGAATTAAAGGTTATCTTAGCTTTAATTTCGAGTAATTTTACTAATATCTAGCTAGTTTCATATTTACCATTCGTAAGTTAATATCGAAAATTACGGATGTAGTTAGAAGAAAGTGATGTCTTGGTGATAACATTCCACGTACACTTCAATTTTATGTGTGTGTTTGTTTGTGTTTGTAAATAACTTTTATATATTTCAATATAGTATTGGAAATATAATAACATAACTTTTCTCCACTTATCAAATGCTTTATTTGCTTTTTTTTTTTTCTTCACTTTAAAAATAACTGCTACTTTCTGCGTCGTTTTTTTTTTTTTCTTTTCAATGAAATAAATTAAATAATTTTCTGCATTTCCGTATTTTCACTCACAGTTTCAGCTTCATCACAGCTTCTAATTTATTTTCCACAAACGCCAATAACTGTTGTAGTGGACGTCGTAAAATATCACCTTTGCCTGTGTCAAAATATCAGCAACATCGTTGTTTTGATTTATCGCGACAGTCCAAAAATGTCAATTTGCCAGACGGCGATGATGTCACGGATGATGTTAATGTTTGCGGTGATACCCCTACTGTTACCGAGGTGCTTATCAGTGATCTCAGGGTTTCACCATTGTTCACGTGTACTCATACTTTGGGAGCACTTCAACCAAGGTATTAAAAGTCATCTATAAGTTAGATGTAATATTTTAGGTTTTTATACATATTTTTTAATAGGTTTTGATAATTTGAAGTTTGCAATTAAAGAAGACAATTTGCATGCATTTTCATACTTTTTTTTTTTTCGTAAGGTTTTTTTAGTATTAATAAAAATAATTGAGCAAATGAATGAAATAACTAGCTGATTCCTTTATTTCTTCTATGCATGACTTTCTTACCCTTTGTTTCTTTCTGTTTAACTTTTTAAGCAAATTTGATAAGAAAAGATTAAATTTATCACCAATTTTTATTCATCTTTAAATTATAAAAGTTATGAATTGGTTAACAATGATATTAAAAGTTTCAGAACTATTTCGTTTCAACTATTCCCATAAATTTTCTTGGCATTAAATTTTAAGCATTAATTTTTAATAACTTATAACTTTTACAAAATTATGGCAATGAAAATAGGCATCAAATAATGAATAATCGTACATATTATTGCTCATTATTTCTTTTTTTTTTTTACGAATTTTAAAATTTCCAGTCGGCGAGTGAAAACACTTTATGCATGTACAGCAGGTCACAATACTGAATTGTCTTTTCAGCCTGGACAAATTATTACTAATGGCTAGTTCTTTCTTTTTCATTCTTAAGAATATATTTGATGCTGAATTAAGGTAATACTTCTTCTAGGTATTACTTTACTCTTAGCACTTATATGTTTGAAGTGTCTTTAAATTTGATACCAGAATACGATCTATTTTGAATAAATTTCTTAGTAATAACGATAAGTTGCATAAGCTTGTAAACCTAGTATTATGTGCATTTGTAACGAACGTTTTCATCACTCAGAATAATCCGTTTTTCTTTGCGATTTATAGAACCAGAATATGCCGGAAACAGCTAAAATTTTTTTTTTTTTTTTTCTAAAAGAAGCTGAAATGAAACATAAACTAGAGTTCAACTGGTCTCAATTCATCTTTTTTACTATAACATATGTTACAGTTCTTTATTCTAGTTAATATATAGTGCTTTTATGATCTTTCTAACTTAAATCATCTCTAGTGAAATCTTAAATTCTAATTCTTTTGTAGTTTATGAATCAAAAGAAGATGGTTGGCTGATTGGAACTTTAAACGGAAAAACTGGTCTCATTCCAGCGAATTATGTCGAACCACTCCCATAATTTGACATTTTTCTTTACTGTTGCATTAGAATAGTGTCTTTCTTGTTCACTCTCTTACCTTGAGCCTATAATTTATGAAAATAATTGTAGTATTGAAAAAATAAAATGACTTGACCATCAAATATATATTTTATTATTAGGATCGATGTATGTTTGTACTTTTATTGATTAACATTACGAAGATTGTGTTTTATTATTAGCTAGTCTCTCTCATTCTAACTTTTTTTTTTTTTCACTTCAAATTGTATTTCACGCTCAGAATTTAAGTATAGCAGGTAATTTCTGATAAAAAATAATTTCTTCAAGGAAGAATTATTCCTTTACAGAATCCTGAAGATTTTTCTTTTTTGTGGAATTTAATTTTCGTTGTAAAGAGACGGAAGATTTACATTCCATTTCAGTTTTATTTATTAGATTATCCGTCTTTTGGTCTCATTGATACATCTTTCACAGTCTTTCCGTCTGCTATTGAACTATTTAATTATAGCGAATGGTGTAGAAGATATTGTCAAATAGTCCATAGTAGCATATATTCTAATAGTAGAACATTGACCTCTAACTCTAACGGAATTTCTTTTAGCATTCACATTACCAAATATAGTCTCGATAGAAGAAAATTGTTAGATAGTTTAGAGATTAAAAATATATGGATGTACATAAGTGTTGTATCGTAATAATAATTCAGGAATGCGTCGAGGTCATTGCTAAATTGTTGATATTCCTGTTTTAATTATTTGTTGTAGATAAGGGCTTAAGTAGTGTTTATTTATTTATATATCTTCCCGTATTCAGTATCATATGAAATCTGCCCTTTGTGCTATTTTTTTATTTTTAATCATATTTTTTTCTGTTCTCATTTCTGCGTTATTAATTCCTCTTCTCGTTATTTATTGTTTTTTTTTTTTTTTCTTCACTTCATATTTGACGTGTATTTTTCGCTTTATTATTTTTTAAATTCTATCTTGATTTTGAATTATAGTTTAATATGAATACGAAATTGTATCGCATATATATACTTTCTTCCATAATATATAAAGTATGTTGTCTCCTCTGTCTCTATGTGTTCATATAGTATTTTTTCTTTTTTCAAAATTCCAAAAAGTCCAATAATTGATGTTCTTATGATAGGACAATTACTAGTCCTCAGTCTTACCAAAATTATTATACTGGGTTGATTAAATGTGGATAATGGTATCTGCAAAATGATCAGATAATCGGGTGGTAAAGTGGATAAATAATTGCAACAAAAACATCGAGTATTTATTATAACATCATAGAATAGGTAACGAACTATTACTGCAGGTGATAAATGGCAGTAAATTATCTTTTTACCGACTTTTCTCTTGCGATTTCGATAAATTCTCAATTTGAATCTGCAATTAATCTTGTCTTATGAATCCAGAATTATAAATAACACGAAGAAAAAGTGTCGCAGAAATTACCTGACTTTCCACTGAAGGTTTGATGCCCAGCATACGACAAAAAAAGTAATAAAAACCACTCATTGTCACTTCATTCGCAAAAGACCCCTTAAAGCCATGAGCTTCACCTAAAATATTTAAACAGCTGGATAATTCAAACAAAGTAAAAACGAGCAAATCACATCAAATTTTTAGGTTACAAAATGCATGTGGCATAAAAGATACGAAATAGATATTATTTTGCGCACATAACACTTTACGATTTTGCTGAGTAATGGATAATTCTTTCTCCACAACAAATAATCTACTGAAAATTACCTGGAAAAACAGTTAGTGAAGTAGGTATTCCTTTCATTTTTAGTGCCTCATACAACTGCATACTTTGCGTAAGTGGTACTACAGGATCATCTTCACCATGGAAAAATGCAACTGGTGTTGAAAGCTGATCAAGATGACTTAATGGTGACCTTTGCTCGTAAAGAGCTTTCTCTTCCGGAAACTTTCCAATGAGCTGTTCATTGTAACCAAGCTCAAATTTATGAGTATCCTAAATGAATTTATGAATATTTTAAATTATATATGCATATAAGAAATCTGCATTCAATGACGTCGAATCATTTTATTGAATAAATTCTGATTGTTTTCAAATTCAAACTCACTTTTGCCAAACCAATTAAATCGCTCACACCGTAGAGTGAGGCTGCCGCAGAAAATAAATTAGATTTTAAAATAGTAGCAAGAAGAAGATAACCGCCTGCTGAGCTACCCATAATACATAGTCGTTTCGGATCAACTCGCTTCTGAGAAATTAAATAACTAGCAGCATTAATCATATCATTTCTGTCAACGATACCCCAATTACGTCGTAGCATATTACGGAAAACTGTCCCGAAACCTGTGAATTTAATTAATCTACAATTGTTAATTGGAATATGCTCTAACACTATCACTTTAAAGTAAGTGCTTATTTGCATGTATCTTCAAATAGTAACATGTTTACTGTTGTTTTTCGAGTATTTAAGTATCTATATAAACATAAGTGATGTTACAGCTTACTTCTTATATTGAAAAAAAACAATAAGGCTTAAAATATCAAATATCGAACCAGTGGAACCGCGATAGTTGACATCACAAACAGCAAAACCTCTTGTAGTTAAGTACTGAATTTTCATATCAAGAGTGTTCGGAGAACAAGCTGTAGGTCCGCCATGTGCAACTAGAACAACGGGTGGCAAAGTACCTTCTGGAGCTGCATATTTTTTGGACTGCAATTATTCATTTATGAAAGTAGGAATGAATGATTTTAAACTTACTTGATTTTAAATTTATATATAGCTGATTAACTTCGAAGGAATAATTCTAAAATCAGAAGTCATCCATTCAAATAATATCAATTCTAGCAAATTTGATGATAAAGTATTATTGTATTCTTCCAAACAATCTTGACCAAAACTGATATTAATTAAAATAACAGAATGTGTCATAACATTTCATGTAACATTATAAAAATGATCCAGATTGAAAGAATTTTTTAAATCCATGTTCTCCTGAATATATTATTTTAAACTTTTCCATTAATAATCCGAATTTTTCAAAGGCAATTTCGATCTAAAACATATTATCTGATGAAAATTCTTACAAATGGTGGATAAAACCAGGCTTGTACAGTAATACCATCTGACTGAAAATGCATCGATTCCGGTATTGAAATATCATACTTTTCAATATCACTAGAAGGTCGTGATTCTCGAAGAATATCCACCTATACATGATATATGATATTTATAGTTTGCTAAAACCATAAAGTTGTCTATTTATTTCCTACTAAGAAAACTCACGAAACTACCAACAGTTCAATTATTATTTGAATAATATGAGTTTGACCACTTCATATGCAGCAATTCCTCATCAAAACCAAAAAAGTTTTCTTAAAAGATCGTAAAGAAGTAAAATTTAAAACACTCACCAAAAAAAAAAAATACATATCATTCACTGACACTGAACCTAATGCTGCAGTAATAATAACCTTCTCCGTATCCAGCTGAATTCTGATTACTGATGAAGATTTGGCCGGTCCTGAAGCGATCGCATAAGCAGTACCACTTTCGTCTAGAGCGAGGCATTTGAAACTTGTGTAATGCGAGCAATCAATCGTCTTAACTTCTTTATTCCATTGTTTATATACTAATTTTCCGGAAACGTTCATGAAAATTCCTATAAGATTGCCAATGTGTATAAAAAATTCTAACAGTGTATTAAAATTACAAAAAATATGAATAACGAAGATATTTTTAAATTAGAAATGCATATAATATGAAGGATATTTTACATAAATAATTACCCACAGTTATGCTTACAAAGATATCAATGTAGTAAACATAAATAAAAATAACCCATTTTATTTGAAGCAAAATGTCGCTCAGCAAATTGCCAAAGTGGAGCACCAATTTCAGCATCAACTGGAAATAAGTTTTGGCCCAATTTATGTTCAGCCAAGTTGACCTACAAAGACGGAATTCAAAATGGAATGATATTTTAACATTAAAAATGCAATTTTATTAGATCGAGTAAGAATATTTGTTCGCTTTTTCGAGAGAAATATAAAAGTCTTCATGAAAGAAAGACGCATAACAAATTTATGGAACAAAAAAAAAAAATCCGTTCTCTTAATACACTCAAAGATGAAAAAAAAAAAAAAAACCTCATATACATTCCACCAATTCGTATGATCCGAAATTAAATACAAATTGCCAGCTGAATTCCACTCCGGACTATGATAATTGACACCTTCACGAGAAATTCGATAAAACTCGTCAATACCACCATTTTCTTTAATTGAAGAAATAACAACTGTTGTTTCGTCCCATGGCTGTGAAATACGAATAACTAAACTTCTACAGGTGAAATGCATAATTTCCTAGATTTTTTATTTCAAAGTTTTTGAAATTTCTATTGCTAGTTTAAAAAGGCATTGAATGGATGTAAGTCTTCTTAGATTCACTTACAAATATTTCGAACATATATTCACTTACGAATTAATACACGAATGCGTTTATTAATGATTATCAAATGCATATTGCATTTTGATTCCACAATAATTTTTGAAACCAAATGAAAATTTCACACCATATTTGGCATATTCCATTCCATCCACGTTAACCATTGCCCACCAGGACTTATTCGAGGAAACGCGTAAAAGTCTGCACCAGTGACCTAAGATTTGATGTATGGTTCTAAATTTCTAAATACAAAAACAGGATAAACAAATTCAAGCTAAAAAGTAAAATACAAAATAAATTTATTTAAAGTTACTTACAATAGGTCGAACAGCACCATCTACGATTTGTACGATCATATTTTCGACTTCATTTCCAGAATGCACCTCATGAACGGCATATAAGATACCCTTAAATTTTATTTTTGATTACTGACTGGTTAGCTATAACGATTTATTAAGAAATAGATCAATCTCCATTTTTTCAGTACAGTCGAGAAACACATACCTTGTGATAACACAAATCTGCGAAACGGTGTGAGTAATCACCAGCAACAACCAACTCGGGTTCACTGTCTGCAGTAATCTGCCTAAATATACCGTCCACAGTGATATAATAAGGCGCATCATCGACAACAATGAATGAACCACCACCGTATTCATGTACTAAAACAAAAACAATAAATTACGGATTTAATTCTTAAAATTTCCTCCAAACTAATTCACACATAACTATCTGGGAAGGAAATATGTGCCATCTAAAAGCTGATGAAATCGTACGGCTAATAATGGTAGATTATTTTTTGATAACCAGCAATGCTTGATTTTTCTTCTTCAGGAATAGAAGATGAAGCTAATTCTCTTCTTAAAAACATGGATCATAAACCTACAGAATTTTTCTAAATAATCAGTAAATATAAACTACCTGTGTTCTTTACGCTAATATCTTTTGGAGACCATTCGATTATTCCATCTTCATCTTTTTTTGCCTGAAACAAAGCTCGTCGACCAGTGGGAAATTGTGATTCCAACCAAAATACTGAGTCTAAAATAACATATTTATGAAATAAATAGTTCAAAAGTATGTAACATCCATTAGCAATAAAAAAAAAGACTGATCACTAAATATAATGAAATAACTATGTTTTTCCAGTGAAGTCACGATGATGCTAAACATTATGATTTGAGACTGATAAGACTACTACTTAATCTGTCGATTTAATTTAATGGCTTGATAATTATCATTGTAAAGATCTATGTGGAAATTTTACTTGTATATGGTATACGGACATATTGTTATGAAAAAATATTAACCTGTATTACTATTAAAACAATTGAATGACTAAGTAATATTAACAAAACAAGTGAATAATCATGATAATAACAATTAAAAATTTACTTTCACCACATTGCAGTTCAGAAATCACTTTACAATTTCCACTGCTCAAAACATGTGTATCGATAGAACTACACCAACTTCCATATTCCGCTAACATTGTTTTCGTATCGCTCATTGTATTCAGGATTCAAATACTAACATTAATCAATAACAAAGAGATATCCTGAAAATAAAACAGGAAAATCTCTGACAAATATCTACCTATTCCGTAGCTATTAACATATTTTCCTACGCTAATTAAAATATACTTCTAGTCCCTGCCAATACTACGCATATTACAGTATGAAAAAAAATAATAAAGAAAAAATATTACAATATAAATTCTAAATAAACAAAATGCAATAACATATTGCATAAGATAAATTGAAATTCAATCAAACAATTATTTTGCATTGTCATTTAATTTAATCCAAAATTCTTATCGCAATAATAAATCGCTGATTTTTTTCTTTCATTGTTCATACAAAAGTAATTTGCATATAATGAATGAATATAATTTGAAATATAAGAAATTAAAAAAAAAAAAATAGGAATTAGGAATACTTCAGTAATTACTAGTATTAATTTTCAGGATGTTATTCCTCTCTATTTACCATGCCAATCTACCATTTCTCATTCAATAATTTAAACATAATTAATTTCATTTGAGATAATCGTCTGAAATTTAATTGGTATTTCACGTCCGTTGCATACAGTTAGTATGAGACTGGGCAATATCTAAGACATTTCTTCACGTCTATTTTTCACGTTCAGAGAGTAGGGTAGGTACACGTGGACAGTGTTATGCGTGTGAATTAATTTAAGGCTGATTAAGTGAAGATCTCAATACAAGTGTTAAGATTTAAGTTAAGTTAAATTATATGTTTATGCCGAATTAGAAAAACAATTTTGAGGAGTAGAATAGGAGAGATTGTGGATTTAAATGCACAATAATTTTGTTTTCTTTGCTTGAAACTTTTTTTTTTTTCCATTCTTTTGTTTTTTTAAAACTTATTTTTCACCGAAAGCTTCTGTTAATTTTCTCGTGTGAAATACCTGCTGTTATTAACTTTTATATGGAGCATCAGTTTACTAGAAACACTCGAATTATATTGCCCGCAAGATGAGTACTACTCAACGATCTTTTATGCAAGTTAAGCAGTAATTTAAATTCGCCAATAATAATTTAAATCTTGAATTCGCTACAGATAAACGTAAAATATGGCATCAATTCTTTGCTTGAATCCTAAAGCCGAACTGGCTCGTAATGCGGCAGCATTAGAGTTGAATATAAGTGGTGCAAGAGGACTGATGGAAGTAATGCGTACTAATCTTGGGCCAAAGGGAACAATGAAAATGTTGGTTTAATTCTGTTTCAAAAAAAAGAAAAAAAAACAAGTAAATCGTTAAAACATGGGAACAAAAAAACCGAAATTTGATGCGTGACTGATTATTTGTTCAATTAGATTATGATTATCTTTGACATTAATGATTTTACATTTTATAGGCTTGTATCTGGCGCGGGTGATATCAAATTGACCAAGGATGGCAATATATTGCTACATGAAATGGTTAGTTGTTCATAGCTAACATTGTAGTTATCGTTATTCTGATGGATAGACAATACAGTTAAAATATTATCCATAAAAAGCTTTAAATTGCTTTCTTTTAATTTGTTTGTGCAAACAATATTTACTTGTTATAGCAAATTCAACATCCAACAGCTGCAATGATTGCAAAAGCTACAACCGCTCAAGATGATGTGACTGGTGATGGCACCACTTCTACTGTTCTTTTTATAGGAGAACTCCTTAAGCAGGCTGATCTTTATGTTTCTGAAGTATGTATGAAAGAGCTGTTGCAATACGAGTTTTATTATTTTGAAAATTATTTTTTGTTCCATATCAACATTTCAGCGTTATTTGTTATTTTAGGGTGTTCATCCGCGACTGATAACAGAAGGCTTCGAGTATGCGAATAAGAAAACTCTTGAATTTCTGGAAACTTTCAAACAAACTCCAAAAGTGGACCGTGAACTGCTGAGCGAGGTATTTGTTGATAAATATGATATCTAGATTTTTCTTAATTGTAGAGCACATTTCCTGTGTCATTTGTAGCATATTTTCTTTATCACTTACTTTAGCGAAATTTCACAGTATGTTGTGATAAAGAACTTGACAATAAGTTGAAAGAAAGAAAAAGCGTCTCTAAGGAAAGGTATCGTGTTTTCTGTAGGAGTTAGACTCCTTAATCCAGTTAAGCTGATTTCATTTTCTAGTCATGATTGCTATGACATATTTCCGGAAAAGTTGGACATAAAAAGATGCTCTGTTAACTGCTTTTGCAGAGGAGCTATTACTTTCATCACCGTATTAAGAGAAGTTAAAACAATTTTATATAGGTAGCACAAACCTCACTGCGAACGAAACTTAATCGGAAGTTGGCTGATCATATAACGGACTGTGTTGTGGATGCTGTGTTAGCAATACGAATTGGAAATGATCTACAGCCAGATTTACATATGATTGAAATGCAGGTATAAGTCTCCGCATGGAAATGAATTTATGGTTTAGGATGAATTATCATAAGATGTGTGTTAGCAGAAAAGTGATTCAATGGTTTTTTTATTTGGATCAAGTTCAGCGTTTTGCTGTTTCTGATATTTAGTTGTTACATTAGTACGCATTACTATGTCAAAGAAATTATGTTATGGTTTTTGATTTTCAGGAGATGCAACATGAAAGCGATATGGATACTAAACTGATACGTGGATTAGTTTTGGATCATGGTGGTCGGCATCCTGATATGCCAAAAAATCTCAAGAATGCATATATTTTGACATGCAACATTTCATTGGAATATGAGAAAACGTCATAATTTTTCACCATTTCTCAGACCCTGTCCTACTTAGCTCGCTTAATTCCATTGTCTTTATTGGTAGCTCCCGTATTATTTGTTTACAGAAATGCTGTAAGAGTATATGTTTTTTGATAAGTTTCAATACTTTAAAAAGTACTAGATATATTTTTCAGAGCACTGAAAAATTCTCGTTGACATTCTTAACAATATTACTCTTAAAAGATATACTACCAAAAGGGGATCAATACTACATAATACGAAGTGCTTCCAAGTATGAAAAGAACTATTCAAGCATTTTCAGCGAAGTGAATTCGGGTTTTTTCTATAAGTCAGCATCTGAACGAGAAAAGCTTGTTGCTGCTGAAAGAGAGTTTATAATGCGGAGAGTCCAGAAAATTGTTGATCTGAAAAAGAAAGTGTGTGATCTGGCAGAAAAAATTGATGGAAAAAAACGTGGTTTTGTAGTAATCAACCAAAAGGTTTTTTTCATTTATTCCTGCGGCTTGCATGTATTTTTTGAGATGTATTTATATAAAATTAATCCTTTTAAAAATTTGATGACAAAACACACTTGTTAAAAATAAGTGCAATTTAAACTACAAAATTGTAGGGCATTGATCCACCATCGTTAGACTTGTTGGCGAAAAATGGTATTTTGGGATTGCGACGAGCGAAACGGCGTAATATGGAACGACTGCAGTTGGCAGTTGGCGGTGAAGCAGTGAATTCAGTTGATAATCTTGCACCAAATATTCTTGGATATGCCGGCACAGTTTATGAGCATGTTTTAGTAAGTTTTAGATAACTATTAATTAGTAATGCAGCCATTTTGATTCTGATTCATGGAAATTTTCACACTACTTGAGATTTTATGTTGATTAATTGGAATGGTTTATAAGAAAGTTGCAATATTTGATTTAACTGAAAGTTGTAATACTTTTAACATTTTAAAGCGGTAAAGAGCACTACTATCCATAATTATATAGTTTAACATCATCCTGCTATCTTTACCTAGTTTTAAACTTATCACATTTACATTACGTATTGTGATTCTTCATTTTTTGTTTCCATGTTTTTCAATAATCTTGGCAGAGATGCTGCTTCACATGAAAGAGTTGAAATTCTGAAGTAGAAGTCATAAATTTTGTATAATTATACTTTACAGGGTGAAGAAAAGTACACATTTATTGAAGATTGCAAGGACCCAAAATCAGTGACCATTTTGTTGAAAGGACCAAACAAACATACAATTACACAAATTAAAGATGCTCTTCATGATGGTCTTAGAGCAGTTTTCAATGCACTCAGTGATCGTAAGTTCTTATAGAAATATTCTCGTGGTTTAATTTTTGCTTTCCTTTTTTACTTTTTAACGTAAATTAATCGTTGAGTAGATCAAGGGGAAATTTTAGCAATTGCAATTGAAGAAATATTTTTTGTCGTGGATTGAATGAAGAATAATTGTAGACTACAGTGAAAAGATGTATTTCGTTGAATTATTGAATCACTTTTCTTTCATAGTTTATCTTTCATCTGTATCAACTTGTTGTAAGTGCAGCGAAAATGTGATATTTGTCTTACTGCAGAAGCGGTTGTACCGGGAGCTGGTGCTTTTGAAATTGGTGCATATTGCATGCTGAAGGATGAAGTGGACAAAGTGAAAGGCAGAGCAAAGTTGGGAGTACAAGTAAGTAGAAATTACAGTTCTGCAAAAGGTTTTATCAAATGTTTTTTTTTTTTTGAAATATCGTGTAGGAGAAATGAGTACCGTGATGAAACGAAGTAATTTTCAGCATCTTTTCTTCTCAATATTCTAGGCTTATGCTGATGCACTATTAGTAATTCCGAAGACACTAGCAACGAATGCAGGATTTGATGCTCAGGAAACAATAGTGAAACTAATAGAGGAACGGATTGCTTGCAAGGGTAAAATTCCTATTGGCTTAGACATCACATCAGGCGAACCATGCAATCCTAAGGTAACGCTAACTTTTCATACTTGAAAGTTTTGAATTGGGAAGACTAAATTACACAGAAGCTTGATTGTTTTTAATGTCATTTGTGCCAAATTTTTTACCCATCACCGAATACGGATAATGGCATGATCTCACATAGGTCTGTTGAGGGAAATTATAACTATCTTTTGAATAAATACGATCGTTTAATTTTCATGAATAAGTTACATAGTATTTATCTTCGTGTATTGCCAGCTACTTTTTTCATGGATCCAAAACGATTATTCATAAAGCTGTTTCTAAATTTTTTTTAAGTTAAGCTCTTTTATATGACTTTTATTTAATAGAACTGAAATATGTAAATTTTAGGGTATTTGGGATAACGTTGTAGTCAAGCAGAACAGTTTAGCATCTGCTTGTGTTGTCTCGTGCAATTTGCTTCATGTTGATGAAGTCATGCGTGCTGGTATGACAAACTTAAAAAGTGGTAAATGAATGGGAAATGATCATTGGTTATGGAATGTTTATTTTCCTTTCTTTATTGTTTTATTCACTCCATTGTTAAATTCGCTGCATCCCGTTATGTGCTTGACACATTTCCTATTTGTTATGTGGAATTATAGACAAAAATTTTTGAATAAGTTTCTCTTTTTGTTTGCATATCTCTGCACCTTTATCTCTTCAAACTATTTGAATTTCCATGAAGAATAACTTGAGAATTGTAACAATGCAAATAATTAAGATTTTTATGTCAAATAAACTGATCCAAGAAATATCCGTTTGCTTAATTTTCAATAAATACTAATTGCAATGGCTTTTCTTGTAATTCACATTATCCATTTACTTATTAAGGAGACGAAAAAAAAAGTGAATAAGTTAAATGGAATGGTGCACAACAGCCTCATATTGCCTTAATTCTGTTAAATCTTTCATTGCCATATGACCATTTCTGTCGGATACCCAGCGACCATTCATTCCAGGTATACGGCTGGTTGGTTTACCCCAGGTCATTCCTCGAAGTAATAACACTTCATCTACTGAAAAGAATGAATTTACTTATTTTCAATGCAATTTTTATTTTATCCTTTAACTTTACAATGGTAGTTTTTGAAGAAGCTAAATAATTTTGTAAAGGAATCGTATAGTCTAACTTCTAATTTGATAATTTCCAACTTTCAGACAATAAAGGATTACCATCAGACCACATAGCATATACATGGTCAGCTTCTCGACTTGGATCATTATTTAAATTCTCCAAAAATGCGGAGTAATTTTTTTGTTTACATTCCGAATCTGGATATGCACAAATTAACTGCAAAAAAGAAAAAAGAAACAAGCATTTTCATCTAATTAATTCATGATTTTTGTACTATTTATGAAATATTATACCTCTTTGTTAGACTTTAGTAATTCAAAAGGTATACGATATATTAGAATTTTTTGTTTAATACAAACATTTAACTGAGGTTTATATAATTTTAAACTTTTTAAATCGTTGTTCGTTAATACTATCAACAACTGAAACTATTATATATATATAACATAATCTAACTGTTTTGTAGTTTAAAAATTACTGCGCAAAAAAACATGACTAAATGCGCATTTGACAGTAATTTTGGATGAAAATTTTGTTAAGCATCAAAAAATTAGATAATTATAAATTGAGTAGGGCAAATAAAATACTTACCTGATCCTCACATGTATAACCAGGATACAAACCATCTAAAGCATTACACCAGGCTGGTACTGTTTGCGCCAGTTGACAAACGCAAAGACCATAATTTGCACCAGAAATGCCCAAAAATGTATCCACACGATGACCCAAAGGTTTCCCAAGGACACAATTTCCATCAGTTGCTATTAATTTGCCACCTTTTAAGACTTTCCTAAAATAAAGTATCTTTAATTACAGTAGTAATTTTTTATTTAAAATGTTTCTTTACCTACTTAAATTTAATTTATAAATGCAAATTAGGAGTTAATTAATCGAATTGTATTATGTGCTATTTTGGAAATTTTGGAAAGCATTTAGCTATTTGCGCAAAATGATAACTATGCTCAAATAAAGTTTATAAGTTAGGGCTAATAAACTATTAAAATTATAAGATATGTTAGTATTACTACTACTGTTAGTATTACTACTACGAAAAAAAGTGATAAATACTTTTTTTTATACGTTTGAATAAATAATAATAAAAAATTTGTAAACTCCAAAAAATTTTTTTTAATAAATTAAAATGAAATATCAGCAAAACACACTACAGTATGTTTCACATTGAACATAATTGCTTCACTTTTTTTTTTTTTAAATTAACACAAAAATCCCAAAAAATTTCTTGAATCAAACTTATTGCATTGAAATAATTCTCTTTTTTTTTTAAGCTTGCCGTTTTTTAAATTATCAAAAATTTTTGATCAATCTTTTTTTTTTCAACTTTTTCTAATTATCAAAATTTTTTATTCTAATATTAAATTATTTAATTAAATGCATCTCACAGTGCAGATAAATGATTATTATATTTCTAATTGTTTAATTGCTCAAAAAGGAAAAAAAAAATTTCTTTTTTTTAAATATTGGTTATGTTAAATTTCAATCAACTTTTTTTTTTTTTTTTTTCAACAAAAAAATAAGCAAAAATTATGTCTAATTTTAATTGAAAAATAATTTCATTGTTATTTTTGTGAAAATAAAGGATGGAAAAGTTAAAAATTATATATTGTAAAAATTTAAAATAAAAATTTATGCAAATATTCCTACCTCATTAGTGGTACAGCAAATGAATGTGCAATAATATCAACCTTAGGTGCACCAGTATAATCCAATACAGCAGATAGAAATTTTCGTAAATATATAAGATTTGCACAGGTATGCATTGTACTATAGGCATTTAAAATATTTCCACCTGCCCATGTGTCACCCCAAGTTGTCGCATATAATTCAGCTGAGGTATAATTTTGCTCCAGAAAATACTGAATTGAACGTGACCATCCGGTTGCTAATGGTGGTTGTATGTATAATGCTGCATCCGCATTACCGTGTACAAAAATTACCGGTTCACGTATTATCTATGAAATAATTTCCTCATTTTCCTTTTTTCCGTGTTTTTTTTTTTTTTTTTTTTTTTTTTATAATCAAAATTATTATTTAAATTAATATATCATTATTGTTTGATCAAAAATTTAAACTTTCATAAATGCTTGTTGAAATAATTGCAACAATTTTATCGCTGAATCACTTTAAAAAATTATAAATAATTAAAAAACTTATTTAAACTTTTTTTTTATAATATTTAAAATTAAATATGCTAAAATATACACATATATAAAAAAATATTTAAAATTAAATATTTGCTAAAAAATAAATAATACATATAAAAAGTAACTTTCGTACTTTTTGATTTTTTTTCGTTCTACCACCAAAGCTACCACTTGGACCAATATCTGGCCGATCAAAATTTAAACTTTCATAGCCATTTGCTACAAGCCAATTTTGAAAATCATTAGTAAGTGGTCCACTTGGTCGACTTCGACTACTTTGTCCTTTGATCAATGAGCACAGGTGTAATATCAAAATCCAAATAAGCCTATAAAAAAATAAGTAAGAAATTTAATAGTTTAATTAATTATTACAGTAATTAATGTTTATGACATCTATGTAAAAATTATTATTTTTAAATATTTCATTACAATTTATATATGTATTTTGTCTCAAAAATGAAATAACCTAAAAGATATGGAAAAAGATATTTTGAAAGTAATAACTATTATAATTCTAATCAATGCTCTTTTATTTAATTTGAAATTTTCAATTAAAACAATAAACATTTTGTATTTTTTTTTTCTTTTTTTTGCTTTCTCTCTGCTTTTTTTCCTTCATCTTTCTCTCATTATCTGTAATAAAAAATAAACAAATAAATAAATAAGTAAATAAAAAATTTTGAAGGAAATGAAACAAAATGAAAGGAAAGAGAACTCACATAAGAGTCACTTGAAATTGTTTCGGTTAGAGATTGAGTTTGATAAATTTTTCAACTGAAAGTGAATTTTCACTAATACAAAGAAATTTTTGTGATTGACCGATCGACAGATCGCCAAGATATTGCCCCTAATATTTCTTCTATACGTAGTAGCAAAACTGATTGATAATGGAATGAAATTTTGCCCTGAATAAATGAGTTGTGAACAATTTCAATGATGAATAAACTGAAATTACTACGATTGTTGGTTGGATATGTTCGCTGGAATAATTAATCCTTTCTTGTTTTCGCCTTTTTTCGTTTCCTTACGGGTACGGGTAATCTTTTAACGGGTAAAATTCATCATCATTATTTATACATTAAATATATTTGATCAGTAATTCTATAAGACACTATTATTATTTTATGTAATTTTATTACAAATACTACTCTCTTCTCTCTCTTTCTCTCTCTCTCTCTCTCTCTGTCTCTCTCACTTACCGTTCAAAGTTAACATTTTTCCATGGCTTATTTATTATATTACATTGTATTTAAATTTATAACAATAAAATTCATTCATTTTTTTTCTCACCAATTTTATCATGTTAAACGATTAATAATAATAATAATAATAATAATAATAATAATAATAATAATAATAATAATAATAATAATAATAATAATAATAATAATAATAATAATAATAATAATAATAATAATAATAATAATAATAATAATAATAATAATAATAATAATAATAATAATAATAATAATAATAATAATAATAATAATAATAATAATAATAATAATAATAATAATAATAATAATAATAATAATAATAATAATAATAATAATAATAATAATAATAATAATAATAATAATAATAATAATAATAATAATAATAATAATAATAATAATAATAATAATAATAATAATAATAATAATAATAATAATAATAATAATAATAATAATAATAATAATAATAATAATAATAATAATAATAATAATAATAATAATAATAACAATAATAACAATAATAATAATAACAATGAAAGTAATAATAACAATAATAATGACAATAATAATAATAATAATAATAATAACAATAACAATGATAGTAATAACAATAATAATAATAAAATTTGTTCATCAAAATTTCTATTAATCATAAATTTGTTTACATAATTGAAAAAGAAATATTTTAGCTTCTTGCACTGTAATAACTTATAATTTTATATTGTATCAATCAGAAATACATTAGAAAACATTTGAGAAAAGATGTCTAAATCTCATTCAGCTTACATATAACAATTAATTTACTAATAATTGAATTCTAAATCCAACTCTATAGTTCATCTTAATGAAAAACTTTATTTTAATATTTCAGTTAAATGAAAGCTTCATGAAAAATACTTATGCATAACTTATTACTTATTCATGGTTAAAGTAAGCTTAAAATAGAAAATTAAGTAAATATTTTTGAGTTACAATAAATAATAATATGATAGAATTAATATAAAAATAAATTGATAGGAAAAGAGAAAGAAAACATTTCTCTTTTCATCTGATTCATTAAGTTTAATTAGGTAAACAATTAATCAATTCTATGTTTCTTTTCATTTTTTCACTTTCATTTAATGAAAACGACAAACGAATTAAAATTTTTCTCTTTGTAAAATGAGAAAAAAATTTGATTTGATTTTTGAATTATTTCGTACAATTTAATCAATTGCTACTTTTTATAAATTATCTTCAATATTTCATTAATGTTTTTCACAAAAGTAACTTAATTTTTCGTTTTTAAGCTTATCATACTTATAATTTAAAATTTCTAAATTAAAAAAAAAAAAAAAATGAAAAAGTAACGAGCAATGATTATTTACCTTATCTAATTAGTATAATTAATCATATTTTTAAAAAAGGAAAAAAGAAAATGGGGCTATGTTTGTTATTTTTAACAATTAATATTATCCACTAATCATTAAAATCATCGATTATTAATTACTATCACCAATTTAATCTAAATTAATAACTTTTAATATTTTTTAAATATTTTCAAAATAAAATTGTTTATAATAGCTCATAATATTAAAGTTAATTTGTTAAACGTCCACGTTTTTATATATGCGAACTTATCCAAAAAAATGAACAAAAATTTGTTAGTCATGAAAAAAAAGTATAACAAAGTTTAAAAGAATAAAATGATTCTATCACGGAATTATTTTTTTCTTCTTTTAAAAAGAAATATTAAAAGAAAATAAAATTAAAAATAAAAAAAGTGAAAAATGTTTTTTTTTATTGTGTCGAAAGGAAATTATCACTTTCAGGTGAAATTAATAATTTGAATTAAGTTATAAACTATTAAAAGTTTTTTTTTTTTTTTGTAGATTAATTATATTTATAATAATTATGATTTATAATTTATTATAATTAAAAATAAGAAGGAATTTTTGCGCATATAAAATAAATATAATAATTACATATTACCTTACATTTGTGAAAAGTGATGCTATTTATAAAGGTAATATTTAAAATTTTATATTGTAGAAATTTATTTGTTGAAATTTTTCTTCAAAATGAATGCTATTTTAAAGAATCTTTTAAAAAAATGATTATTATAATTTAATTTTTAGAATATTTGTTGATTTTAAATGAAAGTTTTCTTTTCTTTTTTTTTTTCCATATTAATTTTGCAAATGTTTTATTCCTTAATTGACAGTATATTGTCGTATGTTGTAATGAAGATACAATTTACAAAAAACAATTTACAAAAAAAAAAAAAAACAGATTTTAAACAAAAATTGTTGGAAAAATTAATCTTTTAAAATTGGAAACCAGTGGAAACAATACATTAATTAAAATTAAAAAAATCATCTAAAATTAAAAAATATATTTCATATATGTCAAATAACCATTTCATTAGTTTATGTAAATCAAAAAAATAAAAATTGCGTGAAATTTATTTTTAAATAAAATTTCAAAATCCATACAGCTACATAACTAAAACTTATCGATCCCAAAAATGACATTTATTAAACAATGTTTAATTTTGCAAATAAAATATAGCATTGCAAAAGTTGCAAAATTAATCTCAATTTTTTAAATTTACCTAATTTTTGCAAAATATAGTTAACTTTTAAAAATAATACAAACAAACAAACAATTAAAATCTAACTAATAAGATTTTGTAAATAGTAAGTTTATTTTTTTTTTTTTTTAATTTTATAAATCGAAAAATTTCATTTCACAAAAACTAACATGTCGTATTAAATTTAATTTATTTAATTAATTTAATTTATCAGATATATCTTGAATAATTAACAAGAATTTATTGTCAAATGCTTTTATGATTGCAATCGTTAGCTAATATTAGTAGCAGAACAAAACAATAACTTCTTTCTTCCTATTAACTCATTAATTGTCCTCTGACCTTGTCAACCAATCTTTTTCTTCCATTCATTTGAGCATTTCATCCTGTAATTTATACTTTTTTTTTTTTTTCACTAATTATTCCCTCTCCTTTTGCATGTAAACAAATCAACAAATTTGATCGATTTGTCATTTATTCTAGCAAAATTGTACACCTATAATCGTAATTAAGCAATTTTGTCAATTCATTGAATATACTGTTATTTAATCTTATCATTTGTTAAATGGAAATTTCAGATTAATTTTTTATATACATCACTATCGGATTTATCATGAAGTTGGTACAATTAACTCGATGACTAAATAAGCCCTTCATTAATTCTTTGTCTCTTTTTATGAATAATTTCATTGAAATTAAGTAATTGAAATGACTGGTTAATTTAATCGCTATTGTAAAAATCTCTCTCATTTTCACATATATTATACCATTTAATAATATTAAAATACAATTTCCGGATTAATTTTAGGTTTCATTTGACAAAGTTCTTTTTACTCTATCATCTCTACAATTTCTGTTATTATATTCTTACTTTTCATTTCAGTTATCGTAGCTTTTTTGATGGAGTAAACCATCATTATAAAAACTTCCACGAAGTACTGTAAATTGTTTATTGTTTTGACTCACTTATTATTATTTATTTCCTCTCACATAGCAACTCAATATCAGGAAGATCGATAACATTTTTACTTCGCTTTTCGAAGTAACTTAATATATCTCAATAAATAGTTCACAAATATAAATTTCTAAAACACATCATTTCTTTTGAAATATATTCGAAAATTTCACAAATAATCTTTTAATTTAAAATTTCAATTACATTTATTTCTTGTTTGCAACGAAATTTCATCTCCTCAGTTTTTCACTTTTTATGAAACTTTTGTTCTATGAAATTGTGTCGTCCATTATCATTGATTAAACCTGTATCAGCCATTGATCCGAGAATAGCACCAGTATGACTTAAAGCTCGATACTGCATGCCATAATCTGCTTTCTCAAATAAACGATTCATTTCCTAAAAAAAAATATATATATATATAAGACATTGAGATGACTTATTATAATGCATCCTCTTTCAAGAAAATTTACTAAGCTTTTAAATTGAAAAAAAAAAAAAAGAGTTATTTCATTGAGTAACAATATTGACAGAGCACATCGATATTTCTACAAGTTTTACATTCTCAGTTTTAATAATATTATACGCTGCTATAATTCTATCAGAAACTAAACAATTACACGTTATTTATAGACAAGAATCAATTTTTATAAAATTTCTATGCAAAAGGATGTTGACTAATGCTAGCCATTAATTAATCTATTCGTACCTGCTCCACAATATGTTTACGTTCAGCAACAAAAGTTAAGCGTGGAACATTATGAGTGCTTAACAATTCCGATAGTCTTTTACGTACAAAATTTTCTGATTCCTTCAGCACTTTTTCCGTAATCTAAAAAGGTATAAAAGCTTTAACAGAAATACAGAAGATTTTAAGAAAATTCTGCAAAATAACATATCACAGAAATTCATTCAGAAGATGGTTAATAAATCAGACAAAACAGATTTTCTTTTCCTATTCTCAAAATAATAATACTAATAAAAAAAAAAAAAAAAAAACAAAGGAAAAAATTACCTCATCAGATTTATCACCTTTCGCTAACCAGTAAACATCCATCACTTTAAATGTTGGGCCTACATCAACCTAAAATTCATATACATTATCTTCTTTAATCATCTATCATGTCTCAAGAACAAAAATTAACAGCAAAACGGAGAGAGAGAGAGAGAAAAAAAAAAAAAAAAAAAAAACGAAAATTTTCAGCAAATCCTAATTAATAACATTTACTTAAACGTATACCTAAATCATCAAAGTATTATCACAATTACAAAATATATTTCAGCTTTAATCAAATGTTCGTTATTTCCTCTTGTAACCGAATGCAAAAGCATAAAAAAGTCTAAAAGTTTTTTAAATAATACAACAAAGATATACCTTGTATAATTCTAATCCTTCTATATCACAAAATCGATCATGCTCACATAAAATTTGAAAAAGATGCTCCATAAACATCCTTCCTAAACGATTCCTTTTTGCCTCATCTAGTTTCCTTCGTTTTGGTTTCTTTCCAACATCCAACATCAACAACTACAAAAAATAAATTAGTAATAATATCTTCTCATAGATTACCATCAATACATTCAAATGTAGTGGTCAATCTGTGAAATAAAGACGAGTATTTTTAACTTTTTCAACTAACACTAAACTTTTTCTACTGCTTAGTTACTTCTATGCTGAATGTCATATCAATTGCTATAAGTAAAAAAAAAAAATCACTCTGCTTATATTTCAAAAGATACGAATTATAGATGAAATGTAACACTTTCATGGACACATAACCTAGCTATTTTTATTATCATTCAATTTATTGAAATAAACATATCATCAGTATAATTAAAATATATAAAATCGAGCTGCACATAGTAATAATTCCACTAAGTTCATTTTTCAAACTTGCTGAATTTATCTCACAACATCGAAATATGCATTAAACACAACGATACATTTCAGTAATGTAATATATTTGTAACCTTAAAATAATTAAAAAAAAAACAAAAACAAAAACTAACAGCTTTCTCCAAACCACTATCGACACCAACTAATCGAGCAATAGTTCGTGTGAAATTTTTTTTATTTGCTACAATAAATCGAGGCAAATCACGATGCATTAAATCATTTGCATGTCCTCGTCCAGTTTGTCTATTATAATGATTGATATATGAATACGTAGCTAACGAACTGGTGATATTTCGAGTCGATAAAACAGGAATGGAGTATTTTACAAAAAGCTGCATAAATGTTTGCATTGGCTTGAAATTTTTGTTAGAAATAAATTTTAATACGTAACATATCCTGAAAAATTCATGTAAATGATTTAAATAAATTTTAATTTTACACCAGTCATCTCCTATTTTCTCTCTCAGTACGAATAAATTCACATCAAATATATATATAATAATTGCTAAACTAAGTGTGATTCAGTGTGAGCTGAGTGCATTCTTCATCGAGAGCAATTAATGACAAAGGAATCGAACTCTAAATATTCGATGCCTTACCCTACACATTTCACAGTAGGCAATTCGAACAACTTCCGCAACGTTCGACATTACTTCTAAACTTTGATTGTATAAAATTCTTGCCTATAATTCATACATTTATTACTTAATCTAACTCAATTCATATAATTCATATTAGCAACTTTGCTTTTTTGTTTTCTCAACAAAATGAAATAATAAACAATTCCTATAACATATAATTTGCTGCCAAAAGTATAGTATATGGAATGCATTGTTCACATTCTATCGTAATTTCTTTAAAATTCTTAATATCTATTTAATAAGTAAAAATAGTGCACACATTTATAGTATAATTTACAATGAATATAACACCGAGTTTTCTAAAAAATCCAACAAACCATATATTTTTTTTTTATCGTAGCACATTAAATATTTTAGTATACAAAAACTATTACAACAAAGATATCGAAAGATACGGTATATCTCTGAGCAATCAGTCTAATCTTTTTCTCTTGCATAATGTTCTGGGAACTCATTAGAAATATTTTACAAAACATCAGTGTTTCAAACAGCAATTTACAAATGTTTATATTGGTCCTATGAACTCAGCAACTGTTTTAATGACTATTAATTAAATCTAACAAAAGTAGAAAAAAGTTCAAATAATAGTTTTTTATTCGAACATTACCCTTATTATCTCCATAAAATTTTCAGCAAGCTGAACTTGGTGCTTTTCCACCAACTGCAGAATATACCAGAAGCATCTTTTGAAATTCCTGATGTACATTAAGTTTTACATTTTAAAATATTTGAACATGAAAAATGACTTCTTTTAAACTTGGTTAAACTTCCTACATTTTCATAAAGTTTAAGAAACGAAAAATAGATGAGCATAAAAGTGTAGGAAGAGAGAGACTGAAATAATTCCGAGATATACAGAAAAAAAAGAGAAAAAACAAAAATCAAAGTCCATCAAAGTAAAAAAAGACCAAAACTAGAATTACAGAAAAGTATCAACACTAACACCTTATAAACCTTCAACTGTTACTCAGTTCATGTTGTTTATTGAAACAAAAATTTTCCAAAAATATATCATGTAATTTTCCAGAAAATATTCATCATTTCTTTCATACTTCTTTTGTTATATATTTTCTTATTTTATTAAAAAAGATTATTCCTTATATCTTGAAATGGAAAAGGTACGAAAAATACAAAATATGGGAAACCACTAATCATGAATTAGTTTCATGTTTTAACTGTTCAACAGATAATTTTTCGTTAATTCGTTTCAAATATTTAGCACGATTTGTTTCAATAAGATTCCACTTTCGACGACTGTACACTTTTGACCATTGTTGTGGATTAGTTCCCGGCAATAAATCATCATCGCCCAATGGATTCAATTTTACTTTTCCCGTTGTTATACGTTCACATGTTGCATTACCATCTTGAGTTTGTTCCAGATCTTCTCTACAAGAAAATTAATTATTGACTTAAGCTTCATTATCATTCGATTAACATTTTTAGATCTGTTTATAGAGAGGAAAAAGCGACAAAGAAATCAAGAAAACAACCGCATTAACAATTACGAATATTTCAATAAATAAATGAAGTTTAAATAAATAAATATAAAGCAGAGCAAAAAGGTAGGGTTAAAAAAGACTATAATTTAATTTGAGAAACAAGTCAGAAAAAAAAAAATAAGCTGAATAAATTTATAAATCCGAATGGATCGCGGTTGCATTTTCTTGAATAAATATTGTTCACCTTATTGCGAGAAGTGGAACTGCTGGAAAAGCTTGTTTGATTTTCATTGTCAATGAATCAAGATATTCAGTTATACTCTTTACGCTCTGCCAAGATCGATTTTTCCTCAGAGAATCATTATTCAATCTTATGTTTAGAAATGACCGTTGCCTTCCTTCAAGATGTCGTTTCGCTTCCTCAACTGCATCTTGAGAAGTAAACGAAGTAGCAGCAATACCTGTAGTAAAATGTATGAATACAACTAACGGTTACTTAATCGTCTTTCTCTTCTCAATGTTGCACAACATTAAAGAAAAGAGTTATTTCCATACCTAATTTGGCGGCCATAATGTCTGCAACCCGTTTCGTGAACTCTTCAGTTGTTTCGCTTGGTTTATTTGATTCTGAACTCTTCCTACGATGCAAAGGATGAAGCCAACGTATCTAAATCAATTCTCTGATAGAATCAGTTACTCAATGTTTGAAGCATAAAACTAACTAAATCAATTTTCTACCGATCAATGTACCAAACCGATATACAACTAAATATGGATACTTTTAACGAATGCTTTATAATTAGAACTGAAAGCATATTTAGAAAGATAACATATGTTCAATTCAATATAGTTCCGCGTAATCTTCTACGATGTGATACATTGAACGGGTCAAACAATTCCAGTAGTAGATATATCAAAATAGTATTCGGGATTTCATGTTTTCAATGTATCAACTGAAAATGGACTGGGATGAAAAATTGTACTTTCATGACAGTAAACGGCACAAACAGAAAATAGAAAACATCTTGCCACCATGCGCCACCCAAAACTGATACTGCAATATTGCCGAAAAATGGGCGATATATTGATATCAACACAGGCTGGACTGAATCAGACACCTAAATTCCGAAATTAATTATCACTATAAAGAAGGTCCCCAGGAAGACAAGAAAACAAATACAACATACTTCGAATGGCCAAGTACTAAATTTGAGAAGACCAGTGGAACCACTCGTCATTGCTCCTTCTGGAAAGGTGAGAAGAGGCAAAGTATTCTTTTCGCAAAAGATTTTTGAACGACGAATAAGCTCCGCACGTCCTTGACGAGCTCCCAAATCTCTGTATCCTAAGCACCTACAAATGAATTATGAAAAATAAAGAAACATCCAAACATTAATTTAAAATAGCATTTTTGAAATAATATTTAGCAATTATTTATGAACGAAATTGATCAGAAAAATATCTATTTATTGAAATCAGTGATGAATTATCGAGCTAGTAGCCAAATGATCTGACCGAATTTAGGCTCTTCAGCTCGAAAACTCAACAAAATGGAACAATAAACTTGAATGAAACTTGGCACTTACCAACGTAAAATGCTCGGTATATCCCAAACAGAAGGTAATATGCAAGGTTCAATTAAATCAATAGCCAAGTGATCAAGGGTCGAAATATGGTTCGCAATTAGCATATGTGTTTTATGATCCCAATCTCGAGCTGGTCCACCGCTTAATACTACTAAGCCCAGCAAACATGACATAACCCGTAATACCTGCAAAACAATTCATCATATAAAAAAGCGAATATTTTATTCATTGTTTGTTAATTTACAAATTTGTATATTTACACCAAGTGATTATCTATGCATTCATTACAGTGTAATAAAGACTGAAACATTTAGCAGATAAAAAAGTTCAACTCTCACAACATCTATAAACCGATAAAATATTGCAACAGATAGCGAGTAGAAATAAGGTCATTATAAGTTAGTTCAATTGACTTGAAACTTAGTCTGAAATATCACAAATGCATTTTAAAAATATAAATTACGAATCAGTTTGAAAATCTGAACAAAGTTTATGCTTCTCTCTGTGAACACATAAGTGAATATGTATAAAAACTAAGAGTAATAATAACTTACCGTACACCTTAGTAACATTGTTTTGCGTAGGATACATGCAGTAAGGAAAATATGTACACCAATAATAACACGTAAACAAAACAGCAATATGCCAAATGGAATATATGAATAAAGTAAGAAACGTTGAAACGTGGACGAAGAATAACGATCACGTACAAATAGACTACTTAAATGTGGTGCTGATGTTGTTGTTGATGAAGATATTTCCGCCATTTCTGAAAGAATCCGTATCGTATCATATTAATTCAAATAATATTCCACGAAAAAGCAATTAGTTCTGCCACTTTAATAAATCAAATATTTAACACAAATAAAAAAGTTACATTAACAAATATAAAATACACAAACAATAATGCGGCCCAAATGAAAATTATCGTACAAAAAGCGAATATTTTATTCATTGTTTGATTATTTTACAAATTTGCATATTTATGTCAAACATTCCGAAATGATTTAAACATGTTAGAATAACAACTAGAAATAGTAATTTCATATTACGGTGTTAACTTAAGCCGGTTCATTGCTAAGCGGAAATTTCTAACTGTTATAGCTATCCTGAATAAATTCCGGTTAGCACATTCATAGATTATACATTGAATAGTGTATGAACAAATTATGTCAAATGAAATGAGAACATTTAAATACTAATTCAATATATTATCAATTTTCTTTTCCCTAATTCATTTTGCTCAGTTTAAAATTTGTTCTAATCTTTTGAACGCTTATTATCTTTAATTTTTCGATCTCGAAAAGATAATTGAGGGAGGGGAAAAGATATATATGATAGTATTCTATAATAAAATAAGAAAGAAAAAAAAAACACAATTTTGGAATTAACAAAAAGTATGTATGAAATGAATTTTAATCAATGAGCAACTTTACAGCTTCGGTGTATTGTGTGTATGTCTGTTATATCAACAGAAAGTGAACTTTGAAAGTATATGTTTTTGAAAATTTTCAACAAATGAAAAATAATTCAATCGATCATTCATAACTGATAGTCAACTATGAAAAGGTAATACATTTGTTTAATTTCATTTTTTTTTTTTTTTAAATTTAAAATTTAAGAATTGAAAATTGTTGCTACTAATTGATCTCACCCATTGTTTTCTTTCTTTTGGGATCTTTAAAATATCCTTTTCTGCTACTACGAATAAATCGAAATATATGAAAATTATTATTCTTAATTAAAGGGAATTATCATCCCTTTCATATTCATTATTAATTAGAATGAATGATCATTTCAGTAAAACAAATTAAAACTTTTTTTTTTGAAATGTTTGAATTGAATATAAGAAAGTGTTGACATTTTTTCTTTTTTTTTTTTTTTTTCACTTGAGAAAGAAGTTTTTTATTTACAGAAATACAGTTAAATTTAAAAGTGTCAGCCTATTTCAAGGTATTTTCTTAATACTTTCTTAATAATAACTTTTTTAAAATAATATTTGAATCTACCAAAAAAGCTCTGAAGCATATATATATATATATATAACGCAAGAAATTAGGGGACAATTTTTAGTTATCAAATATTATAATGAATGTAAATTAACAGATAATAAATTAAATTTACTAGCAAAACACCTGAGATTAAGGTATAAGAATGTGTTAAATATGAAGGAAAAGTAAAATTTCATCTTAATAATTAAATTAAAATTTGATTCATATCATAATATTTAAATTTGAAATTTGATTTATCGTCTATTACTTTCCCTTTTCACCTTTTTTAAAGTAAGTGTTTCCATTAATAAATCAAAAATTAAATGAAAAAAGAAAATAGAAATGATTTTGTATTATTTAATAAGTACATTTCTAGGTTGCTGTGTATCATCGACTTCATTATTATGGATGATTATCACATTATTTATCTTTTTTATTATTTTTGCCATTTTGGGCTTACTAGCAATTTGGCTTCTTTGTGCTTATTATCGAAGAAAATCAAGGTTAATTTGCATAAATTGCATAATTTTCTCAACAACTGAGAAAACTTTTCATAGTTTATTATTATTATTATTTTTTTTTTTTTTTTTTTTTTGAGATTTCTTTAAATTGATTCTCTTTTCTGAAAATAAAACTGATTGGAAATTTAGGAAAAGAATGGAAAAGGAATTACAGCATCGACGAGAAGATAAAAATCAGTTAAAACTTGATATGTTTCGAAAAAAGCAACTTGATATACAGATGATGACAGCAATAAGAGATACCAAAATTGGCTCAAAAGAACATCCATCATTTCGTTCCAGAGAATTAAGTATGTTTAAATTTCTTTAATCTATCAAAAAAAAAAAAATATTATAATTTGCGATAAAAATGAGGAAAAGAGTAAAAGAACCTATGCTACTCAAATTCTGACTATTTATTTAAGAACTTAAAAAGCTGGAAAGACATAAAATGTACTATAATTTATTTTTTTTAATCATGAGAATTTTTAAGATTTTCCTTTACGAAAAACACTCAATAAAATAGCTATCTATATAAGTAATTATTTGATGTAAGTAAGTAACCAAATAAGAAAAAAATTTAGAATTTAATAATTACAAAAAGATATCTATAATAAATAATTTCAAACTAAGAAATGATATATATTCAAAAATTTCCGTAGATCTTATAAGTGACATATACTGTACGCTAATTATGAATATGCTAAAATATCTACTATTATTATTAATTAGGAATATTTGTAAAATAAATAGAAAAAATGATTCCGTCTATTCAAATAGCTTAGATTAAAAATATATTGAGCAAAAAAAAAAAAAAAAAGAAGCCACCTCTTATATAATATATTAAATATTTTGAATAAAAATTTTATGAGCTTAATTTATCATCCATTCATTTAGCTGCTAATAAAAGTTAGAAATAACGATCTGTAAATTTAGTGAATTCTCAAATGTCATTTATGCCATATGCTCAATTGCAAAAGCCTGAACAATATCCAAGTCATTTACCGCCTCAGTCAATCCCATCAACCTTACAAACTACAGCAATTGATAAAACTGCAAAGGAAATTGAAGTAAATTATTATTTATTTATTTTTTTTAAAGCAGTAAAATCATAGACTAACTTCTTAAAGTTTAAATATCTTCGCTGTTAGTTTTCAGGATTTACAACTTTTACCCGCTTCCACAGCAAAAACACCGTCTCAAAAAACAGAAAAAGATAAACAGCTCTCAACTGAGAAAGATTCTCAAGCAACCGGTGAAAGTGAAGTAAAACATTACCTAAAACTTTTTACCTAAAATTTGAAATTGAGCACTTATGATATTTATTTAGAAGCATTTCTTTAAAAAACCAATTTTTTTTTTTCCGGATTATTAGAACTATTTATAATGACATTCTCGTTTTTCAATTGCTACTGAATGCTGAATACGGTTATATGAAACTTTATAAAAAGAAAAGTAGAATTATTCATTTATTGCTAGATAATCCAAATAGAAATATTTTTCATTTAACATTTTTAATATCATCATAATCAGTAGCTAATACCGATTAATATCTTTCATAAATAAAGTACAACTTCCTTTAATAACTTCTACTTCTATTAAAGGTTAAGGTGAAAGATGATGAAAAGCCTCAATTTCAAGAACATGAGACTGACGTTTCAAACGAAAATCAGTTAGATAAATGGAAACGAAAGAAATATAAAAAACGGAAATCCAAAACGGAGGTATTCTCAATCAGTAGCTTAATTAATTTAAGCAAAGATTCTGTGATTGAATGTTTTATTTATCATTAAAAGATTCAAAAAAAACCTTTTGAAAATTTACAACATTAGAATGTAATGTATGAAAATTAAATATCCAAAAAATTTTCAAGCAGAAATTAATTTCTAATGATTTTGATTATTATTTATCATTAATAAGAAAACTACTAATAAATATATTACAATAACTGATAATTTAGAAGAGAAAGACTGGAAAATCTGATGATCAAAAATATCGTCAAACAACATCAACGCAAAAAGTATGATTTAATATTATAAATCTAAACTATGCTATTATCAATTGATGTTATCCTTTCTAAGGATATTTCTCAGATAAAATTAAATAATCTCTTCTCTATTAATTTATCATTTTACTAAATTTTAACACTTTTTTCAATTTTTTTTTTTCAAACATAATTCATTCAATTAACCATCAAATATATTTGAGATTTCGAAAACAAGATTATCACTTTTAATTAACATTTAACTTAAAATTACTTTAATTCTAATTATTGCCAAAGAATCTGTTATATCCCGCATATCTCACTTACTAGTGAATATTTTAGCCGGAACGATATCATCATCAAATTCAACCGGATCATGTTCATGAATGGATTAGTCGTGTTGCTCGCTCAACAAGTCCAGTTCCATATTTTTCACCAAACAAGCGAGTTCTCCTCATTCCTGAACTATCCGGTAAATCGTAATCCTTTCTCAAATTTATTCATAATATTGTAGTTGTATGTAAATGAGCTTAAAATATATTCAATTGAATTTAACAAATTTCAAAGTAAACCATACCATTTATTTAATTTTTAAATTTTAATTGTTAAATGAAATGAAATAGTAGTTCAAATGTAGTGAATTTTTTTATCATAAATAGATATATGTACAAATATCATAAATATAAATATATAAATACATTTATTGATTATAATACATATATTTTTAAAATCGATGAAGTGATTTCCCCTCCCCCCCAAAAAAAAAGAAGTGAAAAAATTAGCTTTTTAAATAAATGGCGAATAAATTTCTCAGCAGAAAATTTGGATGATACAAATGATGAAGAAAGTGATACGGAAAATAAAAGTTCATTGGATGAAACTGGAACAAATATATCGGAAAAATTATCAAATTCTCTATCACATCCTGTTTGTCGCATTTAAAATTTGAGATTTCAATTTTGAATTTTGATTCAAATATCAATTGTTGTTTATATCTAATTGAAGAAATTGATTGAGTATTAGTTATAAATACAAACGTCCATGTAAAATTATTTCTAATCAACAAATATATCCGTCAGTGACACCATCTAAGTGTTATTAATATTCTCAAATAATTCAAGTAATACTTTAGTAAAACTGTATCAAATTTTAATAATACCTATTGTACATTCTGTGAAAGTTTTAAATTTAATAATTTGTAAATTATAATTATTGAAAATTGAACTTAAAGGTATTTATATTTGCTGACAAGAACAATCGTAATCGTTTTTTTTTTTTTTTTTTTTCTTTTTTTTTTAAAAAAAATGTATAAATCAGAAGAATAGAGAAGAGATTGAGAAATTTTTAGTTAAAACTACTATACATTCAAGATTCAAATTATAGAATACAATGATGGAAACTGACGTAGAAATATCAACCGAGACGAATGAAGAAAGTACACCAATGACGCCAACGCCAATTTCTGCTTCAGTTAATGCACCACCAAGTCTGTTCAATTTTCATAGTTTTAAGAGAAATTTAACTTTCTGTTTAATTGATAATTAAATTTGCATGCTAATGAGTAAATGACAGATTGAGAAAATATGTTAGATCGTTATCATTCGGAAATGATGATTGAATTATCATTCAGTTGTGCTAAATGAAAATTAAGTAAAATGAAAAGCAAAAAGTATTAAGCAAGAAATAAATGAATTGTCATTGTGAAAACGTATTCAATGTCTTTTCTTAAATTTAGACATTTGTTTTTTTGAATTATTTAAAAAAGATATGGAATAGAGTACTGATAGTTTTGAATTACCTGAAATATTAAATGGAGTATAGGATAGTTTAAAATATAACAAAGATTTAGAGATAATTTAGTTAGAAATTTTGCTACTGCCAATTTGACCATTTAACACCATTGTTATTGAATTTGTTAGAATCTTTCTTTTTTTTCAGGTAGCACATTTTTGGATGATCAATCGTACTGGAAAAGAGAAAACAAACAAAGAAAGTATTTGAAAACGGGAAATGAATCAAAAATAATAAGTAAGATTTTGAAAAACCTTTCTTTAATTACAAAATCGTTATACGAATGGAATCGATTTCAATCAATTATCTCATTTAGCTTTTCATTATAATCTATTATATTAATTTTTTCACTGTAATCTATTATATTCAATTTTCTATTATAATTTATAATCTATCATAGATGATGGAGATAATATAAGTAAAAATCCAACAGAAAAAATATTATGGAAACCACCGGATAAACGAGCTGAAGCAAGGTTTAATCGAACTCTTGAAAATCCATGGTAAACATTACTATTAAGATAAACATCAGAATACTATCAAATTATTAGGTTTATCTACCGGATAACCGGATAATCAACAATAAGCATTGATAAGTATTCCTTCAATCAGTCATATTTTTGCTAATTTGAATATCCTTAAAAAACTTTCAGATTTATATTTCTTTCCATATATCAACGCAGCACTCAATTGTCATAGGAAAAAAGTTATCCTGTCTGAGTGAAGTTTTATGAATAATATAAAAAAAGAAAAAATAACTAAGGAAATTTCTGTTACGAATGCTTCATCATAATCTTTAGTTCTTACATCATTAAATTTAAGGTTTAATACAGTGCCAACTGTCCATTCAACAGTATCTTACAACAGGTAAAATTTCTACATAATATATTTGATGTAAAGTTTGCTTGAATGAGCATAAATTTATCCATTTTATTTTTACTTTTATTTACTAAATATTAATCATTCCTTTTCTTGAATTATCCTTTTCCTGAAAACAGTAAGTTAGTTTTTGTAAATGAGAATTTTAAATTATTACTATATTCTCTAATTTAATGTGTTACCCCTACACAGGTGTGCTTATTCATCGTAAGAGTCTTTTTAGCTGCGAATTTGAGTATAACTCTAGTGTAACTCTACAAGTTATTATGAGTAAGTAATTTAGATTGGTCTACTCATGATAATCTTTCATACTTATCTAGAATTAATTATGAAAAGTTTGACTAATGAATAGTATGCATAAAATTAGAGCAAATGACATTTATAGATTATCAATAAACATATCTCCGACTGACATCCAACATTTCAGAGAGGAATAATCAGTTGATGTTATCAGCTATGAAACAACAACTATATCATCTTACACCATTGTTATGTTGAATCCACTTAAAAATTGGCTATTTTGTTCCAAAAAATAAAATAATAAAATAAAAAATATTTGCAACAAATAATTTTGAAACAAATAAAAGTGTAAAAATAATTTTGATAATTGAAACTACAAAGAAATCTTATGCTATAAGCTATTTGTGTTTAATTTCTTACTCTATCAATATTTGCGCTTCATTTTTTTCAATGCAATTTTAGCAAAAAAAAAAAGAAAAAACAAACGTCTCGTGTCATTTTGAAAAGTTCATACTAAATTAGCTTCAATTTCCAATTATTTCCTATCTTTTATCCACAAATTTTCATATCACAAATGTAAAATAAACAAAATATTACAACAATAAAATTTTCATTTATTTTAATGAATAAAATGTGAAATTTCATAATAATCCAAACAATGTGATGTAAATAACACAGACCACTTGAATTAGAAGTCGTTATTATTACTTGGAAATAATAAGGCACCAGTTGAAATTAACGGTTCAATTTTGTAAATTGTTTAATTCGGGTTGGAAAAAAAGAGAGAAAAAAAAAAAGAAACTAAGATAAGGTGAGAGGGAGTGAATATTCATGGGAAATGAGTACCGCGGGATCATTCGAAGCTATCACTGGGGAAAAGCGTCGTGTGGCTCATCGACCCAATGAATCAGTGAAAGATGTCATACGTGGGTTGGCTTTTAAGAAACAATCCGTTGCACAGGTCGCCTGTTTTATCCTTTAGAAATTTTAAAATTGCAATTTTCTTCAAAAATTCTTAATTTTACTAAAATGGTTGAAGAGGAAGTACGAGTTTTTTATTATTTATTGTTGCAATTTTTATTAAAATTTTATCAAGCAGTTTTTATAATTTTTATCGAATCCTTTTTTTTTTTTTACTAAATGGAAGTAAAAATTATAAATCTTGTACAAGAATTTTTGCTTTTCTCTCTTTGATTTGAAATTACGGGAATGGAAGTGAAGTTTCGATTGATTTAAGAATCAACAAATCTTTTTTCTTTCTTTATTTTAAAGAGGACAAAAACAAGTTTTTTTTTTTTTTTTTAGAATTTTTGATTTACATCATTTAATCGAAAATTCCTTGTCGAATATGGAAAACTACTGAGATCACCATATCTTCTATACTGAAGATGGTTTTCCTTTGAAATTTACCAGACCTAAATAAAATGTACATAGCAATGGAACTATCGTGACCGTATATGTCCATTTATGTTAATTTCTTTGCATGAGTTTAACCGCGTATAGTTATTTCAAAGAACTGTTAAGAGTATCACTCAAGGGTTCAAAGGTTATCCTATTAATAGCTCGAATGATCTTGATGATTAAATTGTGATCATTCTCGGATAGATTGGAGATGGATTCATTTTCTGAATGTTGAAGGACTGTGTATCTTCCTAAGAAGCTAGTTATTTTATATATGATATTATAACGACTTAATTTATAGATGGTAAATTTGCTGACATCAAAGAATGGCAGAAAGGACAGTCGAGTACAGCTTCAACATGGATCAAAAGGTAAAGTTTTATTAAGTTTCATAAATCCACTAGAAAAAAATGCTTTTGTTATAGGTACTATACAAAAATAATTTTTAGAAGTGAAAAAAACACGACCATTTCATCGTAGCCGACGTTTGATGTCATCCTCGGAAGAGGAGGAGGAGGAGGAAGAAGAAGAAGAAGAAGAAGAAGAAGAATTAATTGAAAATGGATCAGATGATGAGGATTTGAAATTTTTGGAGGCACCACGCACTACTACCAGTTGGAGAGAACAGAGTTCAGATGCAGAAGCGGATGAGGATAAAAAAGAATTATCCGAAGTATCTTCAAGAAGCCTCCGAGCTATACCAAATATCATGCAGAAAGATCTAACTTTTGAGGAAAGGTGAGTATGATTAATTTTTTTTTATTAGATTGACTAGTCATTTAAAATGAAATTTGGATATCTTCTTGTCAAAATGGCTGCACAATTTCGGAGAAAGAATCGCAAACAAGTAATCCAAATTATTGGTATCCTGTTGTGTAGAAGATAAATTAAAAATCTAGTCGTTGGAAAAGTATGGACTGATTTCTTCTAATCAAATATTTGTCAAAATTATTATACAGCAAGTAATTGTTTTATGTGTATTTAAAGAAAACATGTTTCAGAACAAACTGTTTTGTTCGTTTTTTTTTTTTTCTTTTTCTTTTTTGTTATTGCTTAAAGCTTAATACTTTTGATGTTAATTATAGTGAATGAGATTATTGAGTGTTTTAGTAATTTCTTTCATTTTTAAGGCTTCAAACGTTAACAGACAGCGAGTCAGGTGATCAAAAAACGGATGAAAAAGAACCAGTGAAATGGTTATGTAAGCCACGATTAAATGGTTTTTTGAAACAAGATGATACACATGTAGCCACTCAACCGACTACAAAGAGAGGTGGACGGAAGAGAGCAATCATTTCTTCATCCAGTGATGAAAAATCCGAGAGCGGCGAAAAACGAGTAATTTTTTAGTTTTTTTGATGGAACCATGCTATCAACAACCATCACATATTAAAATTTTAGGATGAATTCGGTTGATAATATTTCGAGGTTTTGATCCATCTTATTTGAGTGGATGCTGTAGCATTTCTATCCCTTAGTTTTGCAAAATCTTAAATTAATTTTCAATCTATTTTTTAACTAGTTAAAGGTTCCAATAAGTTTGAAAATGATGGTGAAGAAAGTTAAAAAGCACAAGAAATACGTGAATTCAAGTAGTGAGGAAAGTGAAAGTGATGACGAACATTATGACTCGGATAGTTCGGCGCGAATAGGCAAGAGCGATAATAATAGTGAAAATGGTCAGGTTGGTATATTCAATTAAAATTTATTTTGGATATTTTATTAAGTGTTACAGAGAAGAAAAATTGGTGAAATCACAGTTTTCAGTGCAAAAGTAGTTTCAATAAAATTTGAAATATTTAAAACAAATGAGCGTTTTTGATATTTATTAAACTTAAAGTTAGTGAAGCCGATGAGTGGCAAATATGTAGACGACACAATGGTAGTGTGCTGGGGTTTTTTGTCTTTTTTTAGTAGTTTGAGTTGTTCAGATTGTGCGGCGACGAAATAATCAAAACACTCCATCGATGGTTTTGAAAAATTGTTGTGTAACGTTTTTTAACGAAGCTAATCGAAATATGTTGATGGCAACCCCACGCATAAATGATAAAGTAGCAGATTTTATAATCAACAATCGGCCGTTTCGAGATTATGATGATTTGGTATGAAATCTACAGTATCTTCCTTGTTTTTTGCGTATTTCAATTTTTATAAACTTTTATGTCATATGTTAGGAAAATTACAGTATTTGTGATTATTTACAAATTTCGAATATTCGTAAAACCTATAATGTAACGAAAGAGCTGAAGTTTAAATTATGCAATAAATTCTAGGAATCTCGCCTTTTGCAATGTCCACGTGGATCATATGCTGCTGAGCAATATTTAGACTTCTTGGAAAATCGCAGTATACTGGAAAATATCTTGGATGACTGTCGTCGACATTCAGAAGAAATTTATTCTGCTTTGGATTCGATTAAATCTAAACAGTTGCAAATGAAGCCAAAACTGCTAAGTGAAGAGTGCGTTTTATGGAATTGTAATTTCTATATCATTTTGAGGAAACTTTTTTTTTTCTGCCAATGTTTATTTTTAGGTGCCAACTTCATCCATATCAACAAATTGGTCTGAATTGGCTTATGATGATGCATAAACTAAAACTGAATGCTATTTTAGCTGATGAAATGGTAATTATTTGTTATACTTTAAGGAGGGAAAATATACAGAGAAGGAAGATGTAGTGAAGAAATATTCTTAATTGTTACATATTTTCTGGATGTTATTACCTTAGCTTTAATATGTGGAGTAGTCTTTAAAGACTTGACCTATCATCATTTCCTTTTGATGCAAAGTTCAAAAAGTCTGGTATAGTACCTTTATTGCTGATGCTGATATAATGAATTATTGATAATCTGAAATTATTTGTTATTATTCTTATTAATTTGAAAAGGAACATTTTAGGTATTGATTTATCATATGATTTGTCAGTTTCATTGAAAAAAATGCAAGCCTAACTATATAAACATATATGGCATTAATGAAAGTAGCACGTTATTAAGTTGCAATCATGTGTTGTTTCTTTCAGGGTCTTGGAAAGACGGTTCAAGTAATAGCTTTTATAACTTATTTAAAGAGTGAGCAAATCAAGGGACCACACTTAATTGTTGTACCTTCCTCGACAATTGAGAATTGGCTTAGTGAATTTTCAAAATGGTCTCCGAAAGTCAATATCATTACGTATTATGGTAGCATTGCTGATCGGAGGCAGTTGCGACACATGGCAACTGATAAAAATGTATGTTTATAATGCATTGTTAGAGTTATGAATATAAGTAGTATCAACTCTCGAAATTGAAAATTGGATTATTTCCAGATCTTCCTCACTATTTTAAAAGCGATAAAGTAGAATACATAAAAAGAAGGTAGCTAGAATAAAGGTAGCTTATTGAAAGATACAGTTGAAAATCAATGATGTGAAGCATAGAATTATATCATTGATTTAAAAAGATGATTTACTTTTGATAACAATAAAAGATGATTTACTTTTGATAAAAAAGATGAATAACAATAAAAAAAAAATAAATTCTGATTATCTATGGATTAGGAATACTTTTTATTTGTTTTGAGACACTATCTCATGCTTCCATCTTTACAGATAGATGTTTTACTGACAACTTATAATATGGTTGGATCTAAAACAGAAGATCGGAAATTTTTCAAGCGTTTTCGAATAAACTATGTTATTTATGATGAAGGCCATCTATTGAAGAATTGTAATACCGATCGATACAAAAATCTTATGAAAATTCATGTATGTTTAATTTCATATATTACAGAGGTTTTGTAATACTGTTCATAAGAATAATATAGTCTTCGTTAGTGAAAATAGGTTTGTATTATGCTGAAGCTGTCGTATTTGGTGTAACATTTAGTGAGATATTTAACTTGTACTGTGCGTATTCGATATTTTAATGCAAGTCGGATAAAACCTGTTTAAAAAAAAATAAGTAGGTTATTGGTAATGTGGATTTATGTTTGCTCGGAACAATTAATTGAAAGAAATTGCAGGGTGAGAGGAAAATTTTAATTACTGGCACACCTCTTCAAAACAATCTTGTTGAGCTAATTTCATTAATGTACTTTACAATGACGAAATTGTTTACAAAATATTGTGATGATATTGGACAACTTCTACAACAATTTCAGCAGGTTTTTTTTTTTTTTTTTCATCTTTCTAGTGTTGTAATTTGAATCATTTAACTTCTAAATGGCTTACGTTATTCAGTCATACTCTTCTTGAGCAGAATTGCAGGTGTTAAACAAGCTTCTAAATAAGCTCTCTGTTTAGATTTCACTTAGTTTATTTATTGAGCGTTTAAAGGTGATTTACACTGTGCATAGTAAAAAAGTTTTCATATCTTGCTCTTTTAAAGAAAATACCTGCATTGGAAGCCAAAAATGGTGCACTGTATGAAGCTGATAAAATTGAACAAGCAAAAGCAATCTTGAAGCCATACATTTTACGAAGATTAAAAGTAGATGTATGTTTTCTTTTTCTTTGAGAATTTTTATTTACTTTAGATATCTTGGTAAAATTTCAAGTGTTTGTAAAAAATGATTTCAAAGCGTCTTGTCATTTTATGTTGAAAGGGATATGAAAGAAGAAGAATGTGACAAAAACGATAAGAAAATGAATAATAAAATGATTGAAATTATTTTACTTACTCTTTGTTTAACAAGTGCAAAGAGGTAGTATTGTTGGAAAGTGTTCCTTTCGTAGGACTGAAACAGTTCAAATAAGTGACTAGCTTATTGTAGAAATTTTTGTATTTAACGGACGGAGTTTTTTTTTTTTCTGGATTTAATCTATTTTTGTAGGTATTGAGTTATTTACCAAAGAAAAAGGATCGTGTGATCAAGTGTCAGATGATTAGGGAACAAAAAGAGATCTACACAGATTTGATACGTGAGTTTCGTTTGCTAGAATCGAATGGTGAAAAATACACTTCAAGCCCATTAATGCAATTGCGACAAGTGGCCAATCATCCTTTATTATACAGGCGGTTATATAATGATGATAAAGTGATTCAAATTGCCGAAGTTTTGTGCTCAAAGGTTGATTTTCAAATTTTCATTGGTTTGTAATGATGCAAATGTTGTGTATATTGACAGATTTCCGCATATAATCATCGTTGGAAATTAGAATTCATGTCGTAATGATTTTTGAACTAGGCACAGCATTCAGGATTTACGCGTAGGAATTGTTTTGTTTTAATTCATTCCCCAATTTTAATTAATCTAAATTTTAATTAAAATTGAAATTTAATATTATGAATATTCGTGTTTTGATTCCTATGATGGCGAGAACTTTGGAGGTAAACGAAATATCTGTCATTCTGTTACTGTTGCATTTTCTTTTTGTTCAACAGTTTAGTTACATTTTTATTGTTATTCTTTTAGGAAAATGAATACCGTAAAAAGAAATCAGATCATGTCGCAGAAGATCTTGCTTTTTTATCAGATTTTGCAATTAGCCAATTATGTTCAAAATTTACCTCGACACAGAAATTCATCCTCAATGAAGAGGTCGCACTTGAATCCGGAAAACTTAGGGAATTGGATAAATTGTTACCTTCGATCAAAAAAAAGGTGATTTGCAAACAGCTATAATTCTGATCATAATTATGGAATGATTTTTCCTCCTCAACTACACAAATAGGAAAGTTGTACAATCTGTATGTAATCTTGCAGGGTGATAAAGTGCTAATATTCAGTCAGTTTACATCAATGATGGATATTCTTGAAGTATACCTCAGATTGCGTGACTATCAATATTGCCGTCTAGATGGCTCAACTCCGGTTATGGAAAGGTATGTATATTGAAATTTCTTCACATAGTTCTTGAATCTGTTTCGCTCTTGTCGATTATTATCAAGTTTTTAGGCAAGATGTGATCAATGAATATAATTCATCGCCTGATTTATTTGTCTTCCTATTGTCTACGAAAGCTGGTGGTTTGGGTATCAATTTAACTGCAGCTAATCATATCATATTGCATGACATTGATTTTAATCCATATAACGACAAACAAGCAGAAGGAAGATGTCACCGTATGGGTCAAACGAAGTATGTTGTCTGTACCAGATTTCGTTTGTATTCAAAAAATTTCAAAAAATCTTAGCATCAAAAAACCTCATCATTTTCTAGTTTAGTGGTAGAATTTGAAAATGTTTTCAGTAATCCAAATTAACATTTATTTTCGGATCATTTTATTATGTGAATAGAAGATATTACTCTAATAATTTAACATTTGAATGAACCTGTGAACATATCCAAAGATAAAGATCTTAAAAAGGTGACATTATATTTCTAATCTAATTGTACTAGTGATATTCTAAGGTCTATTATTATTTGTTACAGTGAATGTGGTAAACAGTTTCTTTTGCAGAGAAGTTTTTGTTGTGCGTTTAATATCTGCTGATACAGTTGAGGAGGAAATGTTAGCTCTTGCTCAAAAGAAGCTTGAACTTGAGAAAGAAGTAACGGGTGCTAGCACAGCAGAAAGTAAGAAATTTTCATTATTTTAAATGGATATGTTTGAAATAAATTTAAAACATCTATTATCATTTAGGCAAAAATGTGAATGAAATGAAACACCTTCACTGGTTGTGAGTTAAATACTGTTTATTTTTTTTCTAAAAAACTTTAAGTGTTTAACGAACTTTCTAACAATTTTTTAAAATTTCTTTTAATTTAGATAGCGAGATGGAAAATTTGATTGTCGAAAAGCTTCTCAAAAAGGCGCTTGCATTGTAACTTCAGCATTTTCTAGTGCATATAGTTCCAGTTCAAATTATTCAGCTCAAAAACACTGGAACAAATACTAGAATGATTCATTTAACATATGTGCATGATTCTCAAGATTCTTATTGCATAATTGTTTATTTGAAATATTGCTTCCTTTTTAAATGTTTGAAGTTTACTCTTTGTTTTTTTTTTTTTTTTTTTTTTTCTTTTTCAATTTATAATTTGCAAAAAGATTTTTCTGTTTGGACAGACACTCAGCAAATGAAGATAAGCTGTAATCATCTCATACCTCTCTAGGTTTTCTAATTTTCTTTCACCTTCTAGTTTCTTCTTTATCTATTCTAGTATCGTAGAAGAATAAATCCCGAATCAATAGAAATTAAACAGTTGCTGCCCAATCTTTGGGAATTCATTTCATTTTATTCCCAAAAACTTCACCTTCATTATATTCGTCGATCATTTCGATACCTAATGGATAAAGTCAAATCTGTTGTAGCAGTTGAAAATTAAATTCGCAAGTTCTTCACTTCAGACTGAAAAACATTGTATTTTTTTGTAATGTAAGTGTACAACAGCTCTGTAATTATATGTCGTTCCTGATTCTGAATCATTTCATGATATATTAGTTGTATTATTTGTGACTGCCGATTCTCTCTAGCTCTTTATGTTCATAATTTTGAGTCCTTTTGACAAAAATTTTTCAAATGTTGAACATTTGAGAGAGAGAGAAAAAAAAAACACTTTAGGATCAATTAGAAATTATACATTTTTACGAGATTTTAAATTTTAGGTAAATGCATAATCATGTTATAAAGATTTTCCAATTGCTTAGTGAAAGCACACTCTCACGATATCTGCACGTCAAACACAGCTTAATATCATATCGCTTTCCATTCTGTGATTATTGATACTCGATCATAAGCTAAGACTTCGGTATTGCAGTAAGACTAATATTTGGAGCTTGGAATTGCAACATTTCATTTGACATTATGAAAACTTCAGACTTCTACGAAGACGAATATGTTTTTGTCTGCTTGCTGATAAGAGTTGTAATCACACTGCTATTGTTAAGTATAACATATTAAAAAAAGCAACACTGATAACGGGCAACAGCTGAAATTAACATACCACCAAAGCAGGTAGTGATAAATGAGACGCTCTCATCTTCCTTATACTGCTTCTTTTTTCCTCACTGTACTTCCTGACAATGGAGAAAAAAAAAAGCTATTGCCAGGAAGTAGTGTCGATGTTGAATGTAAATTCTCACATTTTTGATTTTTACCTGTGTGAATTATATTCGAGAATGGAACATATGTAAAGTGTATTATTTGAGAATAAATAAAATCCCGAAAAAAGTTTTTTAAATCAAGAAAAAAAATTATAAACACATTTTGCAAGCCATGACTTGACTGCAGAATGAAAGGAAAACGATATGTGAGAATGAATGGGAAGGGATCAGTAGCAAAAAAGAGGAAGGCTAACCAGACAGAATTCATTAATATTTCAAGGTAAAAAAAAAAAAAAAAAGTTGTAGATAAAAAAGAGTAAGAAAGATTTTGTTGCTTTTTGGTGCTATTAACGAGAGAAAAGCTCAAAATAGCAGCAACAATATGTTATATAGAAACAAGATTGTAAATGTTTCGTTTTTTATCTAAATGAAAGAGCTCTACTCTTCCATTTATTCTTATTACGGAAAAGAGAAATTCACTTGTTCTTTCAGCAGACTGCAAGAGTTCTCAGAATTCCTAGAAATCAGAGAAACATTACAGTTCTTACAGATGAGAGATTCATCATCAAGTGAGAGTATTATCTGAATTTTAATTATAGCATTTACTTCACTCACCACCTTAACTATACACTGTACAATTATTCAGTTTAGAAGTTCATTCAACTCATTTTTAACCTCTTTTCTTACTACAACAATAACGGAAGGTTAGGATGAAATAAAATTGAAAGAAATGTTCCGAAAGAGAATATGGAGGAATAAAAGAAAAGTTAAAATTTCACTTAAAAGTAAATGCGAAAAAAAAGAAAACCACCGCCACTACTTTAATTCACAACCTGTGTATTTCAAAAAACTGCTGGTAAAATCAAAAAAGTATAATCAAAAAAATTGATATTTACAAGAACTGTGGAATTACAAGAAATCGGCACTTATTCACTGATGTGACTATAGCCTTCTTATCATTAATGTACCACTTGTTTGTGAAACAGTTCAAAAAAAGGTAAGAGGAACATCTGTGGATAAATTATTGTTGTCGCTTCAATGTTGAACTTCAGTGGATGAGTTTGATGGTGGTATATATTAATGTACATTAGGTGCTGGCGGTTCAGGAGCATCACCACCCTGCAAAAAACAAATTTCAGGTTAAGAACTAATAACTGTAATTGATCTGCAAAAAATTACTATATAAATTGCTTCTTTAAATTTTCCTAATTTCTAAATAAAGACAAAAGGCTTATTTTTTTTCAATAGAACGAACAAAAAAGCAAGAATTAGAGTTAACTTATAGCGTGCTGATGGAACAGTATTTTCAAAAATCCAAATTTGTAAATTGAAATGTAAAAAAAAATGTTCTGGTGTACTGAAAACTATAGGAATACGAGTTAAAACTAAGTTTAATGAAAAAGTTATTTATAAAATATGTATTGAATTAGAGTCATTATAAAATCTTTTATCTTTACTCTATGAAAAAATCGCCATTTCATTACACCTACCGGACGAGGTCCCGGTTTTCCCAATGAATCTGGTCTTGAACGCATCGAATTAGGACGCAGAAGAAACATCGCAACTGCAAGTATAGCCCACAAAATGACAATCATCATTAAATTGTTGGCACCAAAACCTGCACCTTGTGGACCCGGTAAATCTTGAACACATTCAGAATCCGTGCAATAGCCTTGTGAATCCCGTAACTAAAATAATATGAATAAAAAATGCTCATAACCACTGTATAAATTAATTTCATTTATTTTTCTTTTTGTATTACATTCATACAAATCAATCTCTCACTTTCTTCGACCTATACACATTGTAGTAGCATATTAAATATCTCGAGATATATTATTCTTCTCTTTAAGTTCAACTGCTAACAATAATATATCACACATTTTTTTTTAGTAAGTGCTTATTCTATTAAAAAAAAAAAGAAAGAAAAATCCGACTAATTGCTAAGAGACTTCATTTCCATGTACTTTTTAATTTTTTTCAAAAACTATATAACTATTCCATCTCTTCTATTCAGTGAAATAAATCTAAAAAAAAAAAAAAAAAAAGAAACGAAAAAAGAAAAGCTGAATCGAATAATTAATATTTCACCAATGAAAGTAAGCGCCTCATAGCGGTTTCATGGTTGAATAAACATTCACACGGATCGTCATCCATTTTTTATTATGTATCGATTGATGACTGATTTGTTAGTTAAGCGAAATTCCTAAAAAAAAAAAAAAAAAAAAACTTTTTTTCGCTAAAAATTAAGAAAAAAAAGAAAGCATTAAAATGTTTTAATTTGAAAAATGGTATATCAGAAGTGAATAAATATCAAAAGTGAACTAGAAAAGGAAATGATAAGAGAAAAGCAGGGGAAAAGAAAGAAAGAAAAGAGATGAGAAATATGATAACTGATAGCAAAAATGATTAACTAAACAGAATTGATAGAATTTCACATCGAACAGAATCAAATATATTTATAAACGAATAATATGACGATCTATTTGAATGCCACGTCAGTTCACTATAATACCACCCATTCTCCCATCTGTTTTCTCCTTTCCATCCCCTCTTCTCTCTCTCTCATCCCCTTCCTCTTTCCTCTCTCTCTCTCTCTCTCCCTCTCATTGTTTTAATGTTTTAGCTTGCTCTATAAAATAATATATTTTTCCTGTTTAAAAAAAAAAAATCTCACAAGTAACACTACTTTTTAGAGCAGTGAAAGAGAAAGAGAGAAAGAGAGAGAAAGAGAAAAAAAGAAAAGGGAGAAGGAAAAAAGAGAAAAGAAGTTCAATTAGCATTTTTCATAAGAGAAAATTATTTATTTTAAAAAATCAGAGACATTTACATTAATAATAATAATAATTAGTACTAATAGCAATAATTTAGTATAATAATAATTAATTCATCAATGATAATGAAATAGTGGTAATAATAATAATAATAATAATAATAATAATAATAATAATAATAATAATTTGCTGAAAAAGAGGTGAGAATAACCGGTTGTCAAATGTGCCACAGTTGCAAATGATCTGATATATTTCAATATTTTTATCAAATAAAAAAAAAAAACTTCTATTTTTAAATTTGTTTTGTTAAATTAACAAAATATCATATAGTTAAACAAACAAACAACAACAGACACACACACACACAAAAATCTATAGTGTAAATTAATTGGAAAATTTTCACCAAACATTTTATTTTATCATTTACCCTCCTCCATTTCTTCCCTATAAAACATCAAAATCATTGATCGGATACATACACGTACACACATACATACATACATACACATACATACATACATAAAGAAATGCGTAAGACATAGAGATAAGATCCTGAATAACGCTATCAGAGAAGCCGGTTTAATTCTGATATACGTCAGCGTTACGAGAGAAAGGTAAGAGGAAGAGGAAGAGGAAGAGGAAGAAGAAGAAGAAGAAGAGCTAAGCTAACTAAATAATATTGTTCACATTTCAATTTTATGAATTTATTAAAAATGTTTGTGGTTAAATTGAGTAATTTCTCTGTTTCTTTTTCTTTTTACACTTTCTTTCTTTTTTTAAAATAATTACTCATTGATTGATTCAAATTATTTATGTACGTAAATAGCAATACTAGATGAAATGTAACAACGAGTAAATATGATGAGTAATATCTTTGAGAACTTATTAGTACAGTTTGTTCTATAACATTCATAAATTAATTTGAGAATAATTAACTATGAATAGATTTATAAAATATTTCTTTGCTGTTGATAATTAAATATCAATAGCTACATTTATCATTTTAACAAAACGAACATATGGAGTGTGTAATATTTCAGTGGCATTTCTGAATTCATTTGCCACATTTTTATCCATTTATTATAATTTTATTGGAAAATTTTTTTATAATGAAACTTATAGTTTAAATATTACATTCAAAAATTGCTATGAAATAAGCATTATCATGATAAACTAAGTTTATTCTCTGCTGAAGATAGATTGTAATCTAATCCACAATGACTTCATTTACCTTACTTCACATTTTTGTGATAATAAATCACTTGCTGTTATCTCTTTCTCTTTCTAAACCAAGGATCACTGATAACAAACTCACATCTTTTCTTCTTTGCAGCAATTGTTTTATCATTTACACCTTCAAATCGACATTTCCGATATATCAGGAATGATAACTATGATATTTTTTTTAAAAAAAAGGAAAAAAAGAACAATTTATCGGCAGTAACTGATCAAATTAATTCATTCAAAGATAAACATAACAACAAACTTGGAAATATATTATTTGCGACTAATAAAAAGACTAAAACACAATTAATGCCTTGCATGAGCCCAAATCTCAAAATCACTTGCAAAAAGAAAAAAGATATAAATGCAAACAAGAAAAATGTGACTATTCTTTCTCATTCTTATTTGTCCGATGTCTGAATTATTCCTTATTTATCATCCAAGTGTAAATTTAGAAAGAAAATTATATTTGTAAAGTATAAGCTGAAAATCAAGGTTATAAACTGTAGTAAAGGTGAAGGCATTTAGCTAAACAATAATATAAGGCAAGAAATGAATGGATTACTTTTATGCATAGATTTGCTAAATTTTAAAAATCAAAAAAAATCGCATTTAAAGGAAGGAATGTGTAGCAAAAACTGATGAAAATTCAAACCTAAAACATACGTAAACTATAAACAGCCTAGGAACATTCAAAAACAAGTGTTATTTCTCATTATTAACAACACTGAAAAGCACTACAGTTATTATTACTAGCTACCTAAGAATTTTTAAGTTCCATTTTGTTAACAAAATTGGCTAATTCGTTAAGAAAATGCTCGTAATTTGTCAACGGTCTCAACTGTTTACGTATCCATCGAGAAATCTTTTTAGCATTTGGATTTGCTTGTGTTTGCAATAGTCGTTCGTCAAGCATCAAAATCGATCCCCAATCGGAACGATGCCGTAAACATCTGTAAATAATAAATATCTAGAAGAAAAATTGATATAAATCTGATGAATCTAGCCTGAATTTTCATACATTTTACCAAAACAAGAATAGCATTACAAGCTATCATTACAAGTTACAAATATATCACTTTTTTTTTTTTTTTATAATGAAAGTGGAAAAGTAAAAAGTCATTTAATATTACTACCAAAGTTCCAACAATCTTAACTGTATTCAAATAATTTCGAATACAAATTAAAAAGTTATATTATCTTTGTTCAGAAATAATTTCCTAAAAATACAATTTTTTGACTAGCAAAGATGATTACAAGATATAATATAACAAATTAAATTATTACACAAATCTGATGAAAAATTTCAATTTACCTTCCCAAAGCTTGATTGAGAGCTCGATATGCTTGCATCGTATACCATTCATCACCCGATAAGAGTTGTAATTTCGTGCAATAATCATCGTTATATTTTTTCTTTTCAATAACCTGAAATATAATTATGATCAAAAATAGTCACATTAAAAAAAGTAAAAATTGAAAAACGAATACTTATTACTTTTAAGTTATCAAACTTACTTGTTCATCCACAGCACTGGGAAATGGTATACCAACGGTCACCACGCAACGAGCTCTATCATCAGTGAAATCAATACCTTCCGATATCTATTACAAGAATTAAGGTAAAAAGCCAATGAAAACATAAAATATACTTATTTTGCAGAAATCGCCATTTTCATTTAAGTAAACAATAGTAAATGAAGAAAAAAAGAACTATAACGATTACTTAAAATACGTTTGTTAGAAAGCAATCAGTATGAAAAAAAAAAAAAAAAAAAAGTTTAAGAAAGACTTAAAATACGAGAATTGAGAGGGTAAAAAGCTTTATACTAAGTATCAAAATTCCAAGAATTTTAAATAACTACCTTTCCCCTAAAAACTGCCATCAACAATGCGCCAGTGCACTGTGGTCCGATATCTAAAGAATTAACAATCGCCCTTTCATATTGCATCATAACAGTATTCATTAGTGATGAACGACGTGGTTCTTTCAAAACAAGCTGAAAATAACAAAATTAATTGTTGACAGATTATCTATCCATCCATTTTTTGACTATCTGATATTTATGGAAATAGTTATCACAAAAGACAAAGAGATGAAACAGTAATGATAACTAATGATTGTGATTTAAAGAACTGATAAGGAAGATGAGGTACAACTGTGTCGCTCAATTTCTAATCTTACAAAAATCTAACATTTTGATAGAAAGATTACATAGCTTTGGTTACAGGATCCAATAAAGATTGTGCTTGACAATAATAAAAAATGATCAATGTAGAGATATTAAAATTATGATAACTACCTTGACATTTTGTATCTGCCTTAAAATACCCGTTGTTTCCATATATTCATAAATCTGATCCAAGACACGATAACTTGAAAAAAAACATAACACACCTTTTGGTATTATTTTACACACGTGACTGAAAAAAAAGATGCGATATATCTTTTCACTAAATAAGTAAAAAAAGAGTAATTGCAACCTAACTAATAAAAAATGAAAAAAGAATAATATGATAGTATTTGAAACCAATGAACAAACATTTCAAAAAGTTTGGAAATTTGTCCTATCTTCTTAAAACTATAAAATACAGTAGAATAACTTTCTGCAAGTATAAAATAAATTAGAATAACTTTGTGCAACTATAATAAACAAATGTACACCTAAGAATCAATGAAATTTCTCGTATAAATCGATCATCTCGATTGATAATTCTATAAGTTCCACACAATTTTTCACCACTTGGTCCCTGAAACACTTAGAAAAACGCTGTTTCTATTACTAATTCAATTAGTGCTTTTTTTTTTCTTTTTTTTTTCCTTTTTTTTCAAAACAAGGACGTTATAAAGACTGAAATAAAACTTACGGATGGAATAACTGCAGCGAAAATCTGCTCATCCGGTATAATTTGATTTCCTTCCATTTCTTGTTGAAAAGTAGTACCAAGTTCGGTACGAAAAGTATCCGTCGGAGAGAGTGTGCCAGAAGCTAAAATAACACTGCGACATCCTTTGAATGCATCTATATATGCCTAAAATATTAAACTATATCAGCTTTTTTAAATCAGTGTAGATTCTCTTAATCATAAAGTTTGACAACTGCGCTCAGTGGCAATTACAGTGGATTAGCATAATGCCGAAACTATGTGATGACTTGATATTAAATGATGGGGACAATCTTGATATTCTAAATCCAACAAAAAAAGTGTTCGATGAGAAAAAAAAAAATCAAAATTCTAGGACTAAACAAATTATAATTCAGTTTTTTTAATCATATAATTATTTCAGAAAACGAGCATATCATCATAATTCTAACCAGTGACGGACGCATACACCAAAAACTGATAGCAACACGATAGCCATATTTCACTTCGCGATATCCTTTCAGACGTGTTTTTGAATCTAACCATACTTCCTTTTCTTTCTCATATGAACTCATATCTAAAATATCGACCTGAAATTTAGATAACTGTATTTGATTGTTCTAAATGCAAATCCATTTTGAGCACACAACTGCCATATTCAATTAATAAGCAACACTTTTGTTTCAAAATACTATTCAGCATACAAAACGTTCATTCCTTAAACCGCATATGTAGCGCACACTACCTATCTTTTCCTATATTTTCAATTCATACGCAAAAAAAAAAAAAAAGAAATTAGCAAATCAAACAAACGCTATCTGATGAATTCTTAGTAATATCGAAAAGATTTGATTGCGCATATGGAACAAATGGCTTATCAATACATACAAATAATCTGCAAAAAATTAATGTAAAAATCATTTTCGACAATATTTTAGCACAAAAAGAATTGTAAAGACATTGAAACTATTTCGCAACATTATTATCAATAATTTTTGATTAAGAACTTACTTATATGCAGTACGATTGTCATCCCGAAAATATGCTTTAAAAAAATATAGAAATTTTTCCACACAAACAGCTGTTGAAGCAAATGGCTTGTAATACTTTAAGTAGGATTGAAACTCATCATTTTCATTACCCGTATCGGTAATAGATATAAATGCTTCCTGAAGAAAACAGTTAACTTTAAACCACTTTTTATTGATATTGACGAGTAATACTAAAGTAACACTGATCTATATAAGTTCTAGATTCGCCTTTTCATAAAAAAACTTTTTCTTTTTACGCCTTAAAACAACAGTTGTTATGTAGTAGCCAAGCTATGTATAGCAGTGCTTACTAAGGCTAAATTCGAATAATATAATACAAAGTAGGAATCAAAAATTAATCCACAAATCAGTGTTTTTCATAAATAAACTCCGAAAACAAAATCAATACGAATTCTTCCAAACTGTCAATTCTAGGAATCACCTATAGAATTATCTGAAGTCAAATCCTTAAGCATTCAAAAAAGCGATGTAGAATCCTATTTTTAAAAACTTCACAATAGGCTGATAATATCAGTTTTTTGAAACGACATCTTACCAGTAGACCTGAATAAGCAGTCCCTTTGCCGGTTTTGTCAAATATATTCAAATCATTATTCGCAAACGTTGTGAAAAGCTTCTCCCAGTTAAAAGTATAGGTAAGTCGATCATTTTTCATCGGTGCCGATTGAAGAGCATTTGATGATACATTCACAAACCAATCCAATATCTTATTTAAGAAACTAATTACCTGAAAAAGTTATACAATATTATTTATATATCCTTTTTATAAAATAACTATGAAAATATCACTATTTTAGCTTTCTACAAAAACAAAGTGTTTCCGGGAAAGTCATCATAATCGATCTAATTTGATTCAACACCAACTGTTTTAAAATGGCCCTTCAATATTTCCAAACACTCCTTATATCTTCCCGCCCTGTTGTCTTGTGTTTCAATCAATCCTTCTTCCGCAACAATTTTAGCATCCACTTTTGCAAGTTCTTTTTCAAGTTCTGTTGCTGAAAAGATTTTCCACTGCAATAAAAAAAAACCTTAAGTCCCAAAGAAGATAACAAACAACAAATATTTCTTAGGCTATAAATTTTCTAACCTTTCTCATATAAATCTGCAGCTGCACCAACCAGTTCACGCTCCATGAATGTAAAACTAACGGCTTCACGACAAACATCTTCCACGTTATGCGCTTCATCAAGAATAACTATTGTGTTTTTTAGGCTTAAACCAGAATTCGTACGAACGATAGGATCTACAAAAATTTTATTGGGTAATATATCACTTTATTAATGATAAGACTAGAGAAAATTAGAGTATTCTCTATTAATTTCTCAAAACTTCAACATGTCAAGTCTTACACAAGCATAAATATCATAAAGGATACATACCAATTAAATAAGAGAATGGACAAAAAATAATATCAGCATCATCGATAAGCACTCGAGCAGTTGAGAAATAGGGACAAAGTGATGGTGTGGAACATTTTAGTGCTTCAACAAGATCTTCTACATCCCAGACATAATTCACTTTTCGAGTAGTTTGTGCTATTAAACGTCGTATTGCGCCCGGTTTTTCATATTTCCCACGCATTGCATTTTTGTATGAACAACCAATCTAATCAAATCTGATTTTAAATTTAAGAATCGCTTAAAATAATGTGAGAATACTGTGCAAATTTAGATATGTAGCAACATTTGTCTAGCTGTATAAATTAAAGCAAAATTTTAAATTACCCCATCCGAAGATATGAATTCTTTACATTTACTATTGATATCATCATTAACTTGTATTGCTGGATTGATACACATATATTCACGACTTGCCAGTATTGTATGTCTGCAAAAAATCACCCTTATTTTAAAAATGAAATTATTTTTGATTGACAAAATTAATAATAAATGAGAGTGAGCCTATTGTTAGCAGTATTTATTTCATATCATTAAAAGTTAAATGGTCCTTTAAAGAACAAGACAAGATTATCACTGATTCCATTTCTATAACAATTCGATTTTTGAAGGATGAATTCAGACTGTTCGAAATTGGATGACTGTCTGTGTAGAACATGTCTCTAGAAATTTCCTTAATTGGAAAAAAATGTCAAAAGAATTTTTGCCTATTCTTAACGACGTGCTCAATTGTAAAGATACTCTAATGACGCTATTTATCATTTTATATCTTGTTCTGTTAAGTTCTAATTTAAATTTCTTGTTGAATCCAGTGAGATAAATCAAAATACTAATAAAGGCGCTGCAAACAATAGAAAGTGAAATTTGTATAAGTGAAATTACGTTAAGTTGTATTACACAATATCAATAAAACATTACTTAATGACTCCATCTTGACTATATGGCAAGCGTGAAAATTCTTTTACCACTTGGCTAATTTGTTTATGTGTTCGCGTTCCATAGTATATTGTTACACGTCTGAAATAAGCAATAAGTATTTCGGAATATGTATACTTAGCGGAAAGATCATGAAAGTTATCGTATTAAATTCACTACGCTTAGCTCATTGTTCATTAATGCAATGGTCAATCGTTCAATACAAAGTAACGATTAGAAATTCTAAAACATGAATGGAAGAAATATTCTTAACATAATCTTACGGTAAACAAGTGTGGCTTTCCTCCGTCACATCTTTCGTCGACAATTTACTATCATCCAGTAAGGTAGCTCCTTCCAACTATAAATTTATATTATTTTAAATATTAGAATTATACGATTATATTAAACATTAGAATACGTTATATTAAATAATAGAAAATCACATATTAGAATTAATTCTAATGTATTTCATATAATAAACGCAACAATTATTAATTTTTCGTAAAGTAATTTATAAACAGATAGCTCACTTTATTTGAAACAACTGGCGAGCTTGCAACTGAGCGAAAATCATTCTCAAATTCATCTTCTACTGAAAAAAAAAAAAAAAAAGAAATATAACACTTCACCTGCAACAAAAAATGTATGCATAATGAAGTAACTGTTCCTCCTCTCAAACATCTAAAACATTCCGTCAATTGTAATATATTAGAGGTTTAAATCAGGTAATACTTGCACATGGTTTTTCAGTAGTTATTTATAATTTAACTTTCATACTGTCAAGTACATCAATATCTGCCACACAACAGTTGTTGGTTATTTCTGAATGAAAAGAATTATCTTTCATTAATTCTAATTTACATTAAAGAGATCATTACTAGTTTTAAATCTACATTAAAATATTATCTCCCAACAATTGGTAAAAATGACTTACTTGTAGAAAATGATTGAGTATCACATGAACATTCGGCTGTATTCATACCTTTACTATTGTTATCGCTTAAATCAACACCATTTAATTCTCCAAATAATGTGCTTTGATCTAAAGTTTTATTACCAGAATGTCCATTACCACTACCATTATGACATGCTTTGCATTCATCACGTGATTGCGTTCGTTCCTTTTTGTATCTTTCAAGCCAAGCACAACTTGCTGACAGAAGTCCAAGTGTTTTACCTAAATCATTTAAATTTCTTTCTGGTTGAAAATGCTGTAAACAGTGAAAAAAAAAAATTAAACACAATAATTTGAAAAAACTTAAAATATAACAAATGCTGAATCAGTGGAAATTTTATACTGCAATTACTTTATACAGGAATTATTGTATTATTCTCCACTTAAGTTTGTTTTCAGCAGTTTACAACATCATATAAAAAACTCGAAGTTTGAAAAATTCTTCAAATCAAAATTTTAACTAATAAACCAACCACTTCCTGTTGGGCTTTCAATCAGCGCATTAAGTTTATTCTTTAAAGAGATAAGAATTTTTGCAATCATTGTTCGCTGCGTAGCATACGGTTGTATATTTGGTGGTAACTTAATCATATATCCACAAATTAATAAATCCGTATAATTGAGCGACTGATTATTTAACTTTAGCGAAAGCCTTTTAGACGATAATCCACCATTATCTATTCATAATATAGCATAAATTAGGGCAAAAAAAATTCATCCAAAAATTTGCAAATTTTCCGAATGTATTAGCAAATTTCAGAAATAATGAGCTATTCTTATGCTTTAATTATCCATTAACTTAAGATAGTATTCAGAGTAATTATACTTCCTTATTTTTAATACATACTTATTAATTTGAGCCATACTTAATCTATTTTTCAACAGTAATTTATAGAATGGTTGAAATTTATGAAATGAAATAACTTTACAAAATATTTATAAAAGTTCATGAAATAAATTTTTGACAGAATATTCACCAGTTGATCGAGTTAAATATTTTTGATTAGCTGTACACTGCTGACTATCATTCGTTCGACGTTTTCGTTTGCTCAAATATTCTCGAATGGAAGACTCTGCTGGATTAGCACACATTTTAGCAACACGATAACTATTTCTAATTTTCTGTGAAATCAAATCAGAAATCACCCTGCAAATCTTTTAACAATTACTATCCAGCATAAATTAAATTCATTTCGAGATTAAACATTGCAGTAAAATCGCAAAAATTAATTAGATTGTGCTGAATCAATCTTACAATCAACACAAATTACCAGACACACAATTTGCATATTTGAAATTTCAATCCAATTTCAATGGAACGAAAGTTTCACAGTGTACCACTGCCTTAGTTATAATTTCAACAGGCTTAGCTTTGAATCCACCGAAAAATTCAAGTTTGAAAGAAGCGCATTTGTCATACAAAGTGCGCCTCTAATCACTCTCTGAATACTTTAAAATCTTCACCACATACCAACACGTCTCTAACAACTCCGAACACGTCCCTTCGCATTGTGGTAGGAACAGTCAGTGTTCATTCCCAAAAACATTACTATTACTTCCTTTTCAGATTCTCGCCCTCTCCTTGTGCAAATTTTAAGCTCATTTCTACACTTCCAATAAATCTTTCAACTCCATCCCTTTTCCGTGTCGAAATGATGAAATCACTCATCTTTGGTGGTAATTAACACATTTCATATGATTTTACGACCATACACTTCTTCATTTCAATATGTTAACACATAGTTCCAAAAAAAAAAAAAAAAAAATGTCATTTTTCTGACCACCTAAGACGTTAAAAAACGCTTTGTTACAGCCAACGGATAAATGAATTTTACGAAAAAGAAAAAACCTTCAAAACGTTTTATTACATATTATTTTCAAGGAAACAAAAAAGAGGAAAAAAAATATGTCGATTATAATAAATGATAACGACAAAAAGAGAATAAAATGAAGAAACATCAACGAGCGAATATGCCCAAAAATTCTTAGCTTAAAAAGAAACAACAAAAACCAAACACTTTTTAGGAACGAGGAATGGAGAAAAAGAGAAAAAATAGGAAAAAATTGACGAGGACAGGTGGATGGATGAAGATAAAAATATGTGGATAAGTGGAGGGAGGGCATTCTTTATTCCGTCACAGGAAAACTAAATCTGAAGAAATTCAAATTATTTCAAAATCTTACAGTCCTTTCAATAGGAGTATAATCCGTCGTTACCCTTCAAAAAGAACGCAGCAAAAAGATGAACATGAAGTTCAGGAATGTTATTTTCCTTGAGAAAACAGATATAAAAAGGAAATGGAAGAGCCAAATATCCTTTGTGGGAATGTGAGTGGAAATTTTTCATTAAGCTCGAACGATATTTCCATGTCTATATAAGAGAATAGTCAAAAGACATCAGTAGGAAGTCTAATAAAAGAAAAAAAAAAACAAAAAAAAAAAAGACGGGAAATAATTCAGGTCCAGAATTTTGTAATATAACTCCGATTTTTAATCGCAGAAACAAAAGAAACTAGTATAGTAAAATGGGTTGATATATTAATAAGTGGAAGGGATGTGCGGCCGAGTAAAAGGACAGTTTAACTTAATATTTTTGCTGCATTTGCTGCTATAGCTTTTCTGGGAGGTTTAAAAGAGATGGAAAATAGCAGGGGCAGCAATAGTAGCAACAGTCTAGAAACATTTACGGTGAACAATTGAAGGTCCCGATTCATCATATTCTTGCTTCGAGATCCACATCTGCTGGAAAGTGGAGAGTGACGCCAGGATAGAACCACCAATCCAAACCGAATATTTACGCTCTGGTGGAGCAATAATCTTAATTTTCATTGTGCTAAAACAAAGAATTCAGTTATAAATTATACTACATCAATAAAATATATTTAGTAGATACATAGAAGCATACAAAAATATTATCCAGATATTGCAAATATGAATAGCAATTTAATCGCCCTCCGACATCGGTGCACACGTTAATGCAATGCAAAAACATAGTCCCGATAAGTTACTGCATCTTGACAAAACCAACTAACCTTGGGGCAAGTGCAGTAATCTCCTTCTGCATACGATCAGCAATACCCGGGAACATCGAAGTACCTCCCGAAAGAACAGTGTTCGCATATAGATCTTTTCGGATATCAACATCGCACTTCATGATGCTGTTGTACGTTGTTTCATGAATACCAGTAGACTCCATTCCTAAAAAACAAAGTTTTTTAAAATGAAACAGAAGATACTAATGGCAACCATTTGAAATATTTATCAATTACACGAAGAAAATTACCAAGGAATGAGGGCTGGAAGAGTGCCTCCGGGCATCGGAACCGTTCGTTGCCGATAGTGATGACCTGTCCATCGGGAAGTTCATAGCTTTTTTCCAACGATGATGATGATGCTGCAGTAGCCATTTCTTGCTCAAAGTCCAAAGCTACATAGCACAGTTTTTCCTTGATATCCCGAACAATTTCACGCTCCGCAGTGGTCGTAAACGAGTAGCCGCGCTCGGTAAGAATTTTCATGAGGTAATCGGTGAGATCACGACCAGCCAAATCGAGACGCAGAATTGCGTGCGGCAGTGCATAGCCTGAAATATTTTATGATTGCAGTGCAACTTTTTGAGGTATACAACAAAAAACATAAGAGATTAAAAATTAAGATACCTTCATAAATTGGGACAGTATGTGTAACACCATCACCAGTGTCAAGCACAATACCAGTTGTACGACCAGAAGCATATAGGGATAGCACAGCCTGGATTGCAACGTACATAGCTGGGGTGTTAAAGGTTTCAAACATAATTTGTGTCATCTTTTCTCTATTTGCCTTTGGATTCAGTGGTGCTTCCGTCAATAAAACTGGATGCTCTTCTGGTGCTACACGCAATTCATTATAAAATGTATGATGCCAAATCTTTTCCATATCATCCCAGTTGGTCACAATGCCATGCTCGATCGGATATTTCAGCGTGAGAATACCTCGTTTCGACTGAGCTTCATCACCGACATACGAATCCTGGAATCCGCATATGTACTCGAACTTATGAGTCAAAGCACCAAATATGGCGTTAACATGAAACCATCTTATCAAAAGCTTGTCGAACTCTACGAGAGATTAAATGAAACCAGGAAAATTTGCCAAAAACTAACGCTCTCATGAAAAACTGCAAATAAATATCTACCTTTTGCCCCATTCCAACCATTACACCTTGATGTCTCGGGCGACCAACAATAGATGGAAAAACAGCACGTGGAGCATCATCACCAGCGAAACCAGCTTTGCACATGCCAGAACCATTGTCGATTACAAGAGCCGCAACGTCGTCGTCACACATTTTTTATTCCTATATTTTTATACTACCGATATCGTGATATGCACTGTCACGGCACAAACCTCTATTACGAGATATTTGCTGCAAGAGAAATCATCAAACTATAATGCCATGCAAACCTGTCACAGCTAGGTGTTACGTCTGTTCAAAGAATGATAAATAATACTAAAAGATATAATAACATTACAAGGGATAATTATATAGAAGAATAATTCAAACAATTCAAGAAGATGAAGTGAAAGTATGAAAAGAAACGATCCAGAATTACGAATATATTATTTCAGCATATGTGTCTGGAAGAAAAGAAACAGAGGAAAGAGATGGAATCAAAAAGTAGCCGCCACAAATGGTGTATGAAAAGTCCTTTTCCTTTCTTTTCTCTCTATAATCCCATAATGCTTATTCTAAAGAAATGGAATAGGGAACGAATACGTAAGAAGCTCTATTTATAAACTATCTAGCTAACACTTTAATAGTGAAAAAAAAAAACCAGTATTTGACCAGTGACATTTTCCTCACAATCAATGAAAACGAAAATGTCATTCTAGTCCATCCAGTATACAATGACCATTTAATGTTCGAACAATCAATGGCAAACATAACCATCATCACTTATCTACCTACCCTACACCTCCCCTCCCATTCCTAAATAAATGCGACTGAAAATAATGAAAAGAGAAGACAATGATCATGTTTGAGAAAGCATTCATGACTGGCTTCCCATCTACACCACAATCAAATTCTTCCTCCTTCTCCTACTATTATTTCTCCTCCTTATATAATTCAGGAAATTATTCCTCCGACAAAAGACCAAATTACATTCCTTAATCTCATATGTGCCAATTCTAAAACCATGGAATCATTGTTATACATACATAACACTCATCCCAGAAACTCTCAAATACTCCAGTCTTTAAATTTTTAACTCCTTTTGAGCTTTCCAATCCAAAAAAAAAATGTATATTATCAGGTGAAAGAAATTACATGATGTATATTTACGGAACCAAGACAAAAAGAGAGTTGAAAAGGAAGGAAGAGAGAATGACAGTACGAAAGAATTACATAAATTGTTGGCATACCATAAGAATTTATCCCAAATAATAAATGCACATTGCACTCATATACACACACACACACACACATTAGTTTCATTATCAAAATGAATTTAAACTTCAAATTGAATTAAATTTTGCGCTATCACAGTAATGAAATATACTATAGCATACTCAATACAATGTCATGATTACAGGATACCAATCACTAGCCTCAAATCTCTCTCTCTCTCTCTCTCTCTCTCCTCCCTCCCATTGAAGTAAAAACGAATTCCATTAACTCTCTTCAGTTTCTCCAACAATAACTTGTAATTACAACTCATTACTGACTAACAGCATAATTCTTCTTATCTTTATCATTAAGGAAGAACTTCCAGAGCTTATCTTATTCGATCCTATCATAAAAACATCTTTTTGCTTAGAAATATGTTACTGTACACATAAGATTGGAATTTAGAATGCGACAAGCAATGTCATCTATCATCATCTATCATCATCATCATCATCACTGAACAAAGACTATAAAAATTGATAAAAGGAGAAAAAAGAAATTAGAACCGATAACGATAAAATAAAATATTGACAAAAATTTTATAACCAAAATGTGTTTAATAATAAGTTCTATGACTGTAGAAAACTAAAGATTACAAAATCATGCATTCCGAATCAGATATTCAGCATCAAATTCATTCCAATTGATAAATAAAAGCATTCTATACTGATTACTGTACATAGAAAATTCTCGAAAAAAATAGAACAAGAAGAATTGATTTCTAAAGAGATGACGACATCATGAATAATCATTAATCCAACTCACAACTTTTAAGAATGAGATAAAATAGAAGGAAAAAGCTTCGTCCATACAAAATCCCTTAAAGTACCAAATAATGTGCGTTAGAAATTCAAACTTTAGACTTCAAAATCCTATGACTTACAAATACTATTGTATCACAGAAATGATATTATAGTTAAAAGAAATTCTTCACTACTATCCAGATGTACTAATTTTAACTTAATGGCTATTTGCCAGCATCTATAGATGCTATTAGAAGACATCGAACAAAATTCTTATTTGAAATCCATCCATTCATTCATTTAAACATAATATTTAATCGATAACTGTTTTATTGGATGAAGTCACATAGGGAATAGATATCAAATTACACCAATTTCATAAAGAAATGAATTCATACTTATATCAATCCTTCATTTATTCTGAAAATGCTTTATTGTAACCAAATAAGATCAATACTGGATGAAATAAAAGCGAAATATGTCATAAGATTGATAACTGGAAAGTTTTTGGGTCGTTCAACAGTTTACTATCTCTGACAGCCATGCTGATAAATATTTCAAAAATTTGTCATAATACATTAAAATGATAAACGCAACCTAATTTTCCGCGAAGAACAGCATTCTTCGGTGAAAGTTTGCTCAATATTGTTGGAAAAAGTGGTACTACGATAGAGGAGTAAATGTGAAGCATGGAATGTGAATTATGAACTAGCAACATACAAACAAAGTTAAGATAATATCCTAATTCTTTGCTATGAACAATTAACCCTACGCTGACCTCTCTACATAAACATTTCCTCATTTTTTGCAAAAATGATACCTCGCACATTTCAATGTCAGTCAGTTTTTGAAATTGAATTCGATTTCAAAAATTGAATAGGAGCTATTCAATTTCAGCCAACGAATTTATCACTGACGATAACCTTCCACTTTCACCTTTTCTGTACAAAGTATGAAAAATGAATTTAGAATACTTCGGTCATCAAGAAGTTAATCTGTCGAAGTGTCTAAATGGATTCAAATGATGACTCATCTTCAGTAAAGTGTCCTCACTACAATTTGTCTTCCAGAAAAAAAAAGTTCAGCAATAACTGTAATCAAAGAATAATTCATTTCTAAGAAAACTTTTTGTACAAATTCAATCTCCATTAAAAATCCTCGACCGAAATTTCAGTTAAATTCCAAAAAAAAAAAAAAAAAAATACTTTCGAATATTTCTGCTAAAACAAAAAATTTCCTTCTACCTTTTTTGAGAGACAAAAAAAATCAGAGATAGATTTCTGTTAATTTTATATAAAGAAAAACAAAAAAAATCACTTTGTCATCTATTATTTGTACCAGAAAATACACCGCGGTACCAATGATCACACCTTGACCATTGCAAATTCAACAAATTGAAACAGGGAAAGGACGTCAGACAAAAATGATCCAAGCAACCACTCAGCACCATCAACCACCACCACAAAATAATCCAACCGGACGAACATTCAGACATTCTTCGTTGTGCAGAGAAAAAGAGACAGAGAGACACACATGCAAACGTGACAGTCCCGCGCAGTCTGCTCGTCTACTCCTCTCATTTTCGTGCACTCTTTTCATGCCAGAATGCCATGTTTGGGGAAGTGATAGTGCGTGGGTGGATGTGCTCAGAGCTGCGCTCATTCATTGGTTTAAATTCTCCATTCCTTTCATCCTATTGGCTCATTTCAAATAAATTCACTGGCGGGAACAGACACACACACACACACACACATACACACTGACATACACAGACATACACAGACATTGCCATCTATTCCAAGAATGGTGCATGCTGCTGTCTGCATGCACAGACATGCAGGACAATGCAGCTGCATGGGAACGGGAACGATTGCTATTTGCATCGCCTCTCGATGACTCATCATGCATTCCTCCTTTTTTTTGTGGTGCAATTTTGGTTGCGCGCTAATTTAACTTACTATATTGCGTGATGACGTCATCCTAATTAATATCACTAATAATTACCTAAAGGAGAAAAAAAAAAAGAAGCAAACTTTCTCAGTAATTTATTAAATGTTAAAATATTACTATTGAAATAGCATAAAAAATTATATGGTAATCTATTAATCAGAAAATAAATAAGTAAACAAATAAACAAACAAATAAATTTGTTGCAAAATAAAAAAAAAATAAACAAATAGAATTGTAATCATAATGTAATGAATGAATTTGATTAAATGTGGAATATATTTTAGTAAAAAAGTAATCAATTTAGCATATATATTATAAAATATGTGATAATAGATAAATTAAATTATATAGTAATTAAATTACAAAATACTTTACTTATAGTAGGTAAAGTAAAGTAAAGTTAAAGTAATAAAGTGATTAGCATACAATATTATAAATTATGTAATAATAAATATAAAAATTAAATTTTTTTTTTCAAATTATAGCATTAAATTTATTCAAATTGTTTTATTCTTCACTTAATCGAATCACATTTTTTATGTATTTTTTTTTTTTTTTTTTCAATATTTTTTGTTCAAAATGCTAAATTCTATTTTATACTTTTTCTTCTTTTTTTTTTTTTTTTTTTTTTCAAAATTAACATTTGCTTTTAGGTGATGACCATTCATCAAGAAAAGTAGAAAATTAAATTAAAAATTGATGTTAATTAATTAAGGAAACATATTACAATTTCTACATTAACAAATGATTTCTTTTTTTTTAAAAAAAAAAAAAGGTTATTTACAGTTGAAAATATTTCTATTTTATTTTTTTTTTTTTTGAATTGATTACTTCACTGATAATGAAAACCTCCCATTAAATAAGATCTTTTTTTTTTTTTCAAAAAAAAAAAAAAGTGAAATTACTTTTCTATCATTTCTGTGATTTATTCTTTTTCATTATTAAATATCATCACGAAATGTGTACTTTTTAGTTGTTTATCAATGTTCATTCATTTCATTTCAAATAGAAATTTCAAATTTTCCACATTTTTGCAACAAAAATTATTTTAAAAATTTTTATTGCAATAATTCATTGATTATTTTTGCATAAATTATTTTAATAAAAGTATTTAAAATTGTTGGTTGCATTTATTGTTAAATACAATTTGTTATGATAAAATTCTCTTCTAAACAATAAAATTCATTAATTATGAGTGGAAGAAAATATTCACACCTTTTCATTATTGATATATATTTTGCGGTTAATAAAAGATATATATTAGTTTTAATAAAATGTCCACAGAAGTGATTTGTTTACAATGTTTAGCAGAATGTAAACAATTCTTCTGCTAGATAAGACATTAACTAAATAGATGATAGATGGAAGATTACAATTTGCTACTAATTTTCATCAATTATTTCTTTTTACTTTTTCTTCTTACTAATTTATTAACTTAAATTTTATTTACGAAATGTAATTAAATCTTACAAATTTGAATTTATTCATTTACCTGTTTTGCTATCTTCAAATTATTGATGCAAAAAAAAAAAAAGCAACAATCTGTAATAAAAAATGTACACGACAAATAGAGAAAGAGAGAGAGGGAGAGGGACAGAGAGAGAGAGGGAGAGAGAGAGAGAATTATCGGCTGACTAATTTGCTGTACAATAATGTGACCTCTAATATGACCTTTTGATCTCATTGTATTACACTTAGATGTGTCGGTAAGATTAATTACAAATGTTTGCAATTTAGCGGTATCATAGTAATTTCAAAAAAAAAAAATTTTTTTTTTTCGGCAAAATTTTTTCACTGTTTCTTTCTCAAATACATTCATTTGAAATATTTATTTTCATCTATTTGTATTTTAATTTCTAAACAAACAATAAAATAAAAATTATATATGATTGAAATGGATTATTTTCATTTTAACAATTTCAAATTTTTTTTTATAAATTATTGATCGCTTATAGTTTCTCAGTTTTTACAGAGTATAATTGTACCTATTTGAAAGTAATTTTTTAATAAATTATTAGGTAAATTTTTCAATTAAAATGAGAGAGAAACATAATGATAATAAAATGTTTGCATAAAGAGAGAGAGGACAGAGAGAGAGAGAGAGAGAGAGAGAAAATTATGCAACATTGTGCAATTAAATATAAAATGTTTATCAAATTTATTAGTAATAAATTTGATAAATGAATATATTAATTTCTGAATATTATTTCTATATTGTTCAATTTATTTGATCAATTTCTTTGATAAAATTACAAATCAATTCGTCATCGTTCTATTTTCTCTTCCGCTTTCCCTTCCTTTCTCGTCTCTCCCTCTCTCTCTCTCTCTCCCTCTCTCTCTCTCCGCAATGCAATGAAATGGTTATTTCTTCGGGGACATTGCTTTGAAATTGATATTTGGAATGAATATGAGTCAAGAAGAATGAAATTCAAGATGATCTTTCATTAATGGAAGAATAAAAAAATTTTTCAATGCAAATTATTTAAATCAAATAAAAATCTTTGATCGCTATTTTATACATTGCAAATTTAATCTAACTTTTACTTAAATATAATACAATCTAACATATTACTTCTTTATTTTATTGTTGTATTAAAAGTGTTAATTAAAATTCAATTTATTTTATTGTTGTATTAAAAGTGTTAATTAAAGCTTTAATTTATTTCCATTTTTTTCTTGAATATTTCTGATAAATCAAGTATAAATTTAAAATTTAACACTTCTATTGAAATATCTAAATTCATTCATGATTAAATTAAAATTACTTTTTTACTTATTATTATCACTTAATTACTTATTTAAATTACTTTACTCGATCTCGATCAATGTCTCAATCAATCAATTAATTAATTAATTAATCTATGCTAATTTTTTGCTTAAAACTTAAAAATATACTTAGTTCTGATTCTTTCTTTTTTTTTTTTTTTCATTTCTGTTTATATTATGTGATCATCGATCAAATTTTCCAGTTTCCATTGATTGTAATGAGGAAATTACATACGTATACATTGACATACCTGGAATGTTGTTTACATTGTAATGATTTTCAGTCACAAATAATTTAACTGTGTTGCGAAGAAATGTGTTAATGTAAAAAAATTTCTAATTCTTACATTTGTTAAGGAATCCGCCAAAAAAAATAGCTCAAAATTTTTGATTAATGCTTCATAGATCATCTTGTAATTAATGATAAAAGAGAGGGAGAGAGAGAGAGAGAGAGAGAGAGAGAGACCGTTAACAAAAAAGACATAAAATATTTCCCGAAGTTTGCTAAAATAGAAAAGTAAACTAAAAATTTTGATTTGAAAATTCTTTGTCTACATATACATAATATATATTTGAAGCATTTTTTTTTTTTTTTAAACTTAAAAGGGAAAAGACAAAATGAATCTAATTTTAATCTAATAATCTAATGAATAAAATAAACTTGACAAGTTGATTATGAATATTTTAAATCGACTAAACATCAAATAGTATATTTTTAATCGGTTTCTTGTATTTCTCCCTTTTTTTTTTTTTTGCTCACTTAGAATGACAATGATTTATTCATTTTGTCCCTTCTTTATTTCACTCTCTCTCTCTCTCTCTCATTCTCATTTATTAAATGGAATGTCTCCAAATCCCTTCTATAAGAAAAAAAAAAAAAAAAAAAATTAAAGTCATCAATTATCAGCAATGGATATTCAAATATACATCTGAGAAAGATTATCAAAGAAGATAGCTTGCCTTATAACATAGAACCAAAAAATAAGCTTTTTGAAGAGATAATAGTTGATTGATGAATAAATTCGTTTATTCTTGTTTAAAAAGTTAGCTGACTAATTGCTCTTTTAGATTATTTATATAAATGTAAACAACAACAACAATAACAAACTTTGTATATATATAATATTTATTGCCATATGTATCAATCATTACAACTGAGAGGTCAACCAACCCAATCATTCGGTGTGTCAATCTTTTGTTTATCAATGATAATTAACAACAGTAGTGTTAATGATAATGCCAACTTTCAAAGGATCTTCATTGAGCCACATTTGTCAAAGTTGAATTAATTAATCTCATTCTATTAGCCTAATGCAATGAACTTTATTGATCATAGAATGATAAGTAGTTGTTTTCTTATACTGTAAATTCTTATACTCTGTACTACTTAATTCTACCATAAAATTTCAAATAACTCTCTAAAATTAATTTTTTCAATCTCTAATAATTATTCCTATATACTAATAAATTTTCAATAATATTGTTATATCATTGTTGAATTTATGCAGGAAGTCCTTCTTACAATTACTGTTATCAACAATTATCACACATAGCTCTCCTTATTGCTGATTGAAACAGTAATTATGCAGTTATGCAGTCCTCTAGCAAAATTAATAGCATATCTTAAAAGCACAAGCGCAAAATGATCATCATTCGCCGGAGACAATTCAAAATTACGATGATAGTTGCTTTCTTCACAAACAATTCAGCTATTTCTGGAATTTTATAAAAGTGAAATCAAGTCAGCTCTGAACCATACATGCTTATGCGTTTTTTATTCGTTATGGAAAAAAATAAATGAGCATTATAGTACGTAAGGGAGAAAATAAAAGCACTTTTCATTCAATTTTCAAATTTAAATTTGTAATTCAAATATGCCCGGTACTCTGCACGAGGGAATCTGTTGCGGTGGAATCTCCAAGTCGCATTCTAGTGAACCACATCTGTGAACTGCTGCTTGCATATCGGTTGACTGGATAAAAAATAGGACACACTCCTATCAATTTCAAGCTATAATAACACTACAAATCATTTTTATTAGTGCAGTACAGTAGTAGTACAATAGTAGTACAATGAAAACAAATTATAACAAAGTATTTCAAAATCATTAATATGACATCTTAGATTTCATACATATATACCTATTTTTAGCTCAAAAAGTTGTGCTTAGGAAATAAGAAAAATTAAGCCAGGAAAAGAAAAAAAAAAGTATATCATTACATATGAACAAAGCACTATAGAATTTAACCATATTCATTCATCTACTAATGACGAAAAAAGATGAAAGAAAGGTTATACATTTGGCCGAAATGATAAAAGTGCATACCATATGAGGTGTTAAACAGATTATCTGAAAAAAAAAAAAAAAAAAAAAAACATATGATGATGCCATTCATGCAACCACATTACCTAGTTCAAAAAATGAGACACATAAATCACCTTTAAAACAAATAGATCATTTACATAAAAATCCGCATACGTTTCACAACGTGACACGAGCAGTGATACATTGTTGAGAAGTAATTACAAAAGACAACCCTTTTCTGTAATTGTCACCATTGTTGGGAAGTGCAATGTTCAAAAATGTTCTAAATTAGTCACAAAAACTGATGCCACGAAGTGAAACAAATATGCAGCAGTAAAAATAGAATCATGGTTATTCTCTTTCGATAATTCTGATTCAGGAAAAATATATCTTCGTCTAAATCAGGAGCAAATTAGATGTGTAATTTAATTGCAAGCGTTTCCTTCAAACATTATAATCGAAGTAGTGCAAAGTCGCTCCATACATCAACATGTGCAATTACCAATAGTCTGATCTGCAGCAGCACCGAGAGCAAAAGCCGATCGATCGCTATCCCACAGTCCAGGTGTTTGCAGAACCTAAGAAAAAAAAATTGCTGTGGATTTTAAGCTAGAAATGTGAAAGACATGATTTCCTAGTGTTAACATACATTTATATGCCTCAGCTCGCTTCTCCTTAACTCACAGAGTTAAGCCATCACAATTAAGGAATCAGCATTGGCTAGTTCACATCACTGGCATTGTCGCTACTATAATCAACCATCGACAATATAACAGCAAGTAGAATAAATATTTTTAGTCTTATGTCTACCGCCATCAATAAAAAGAAAGCTAAATTAAAAGTTTATCAAATTACGGGAAGAAGTGAATACAAACCTTTTCAATAAGTTCCTCAAATGCGCACTGTACACCTTCACGAGTTTTAGCACTTGCTTCTATAAACAGCATGCGATGCTTTTTCGCAAATTCCAATCCTTCTTCTCGAGTAACCTCTCTACTTGACTATAAAACCTCCACATGTTCAGTAGCTGACTTTGGTTACATATACAATCGTTTGCAGTTTATTTGCAGAAAACTTACTATATCAATTTTATTTCCAATGAGCATTTTTACAGCATCTGTTTTGGTTGAATATGTGTCTACTTCATTCATCCAATGGCTAAGTCGTTCAAATGTTTGACGATTTGATACGTCGTATACTGAATAGCATGCTATTTAATTCAGCATTGTCCAAAAATAAATTAAAATCATAACGGAAGTCATCGGAAAGATAGGAGACATGTGGAAACAACAGTAATACATGGTACCAATAACTTAGGACCATCACTGACAACGGAAAAATTATTAGCTACACGAAGGTTCACATTCATGATACCACTCTCTCCAATCTTCAATCCAATCACATGAATATCAAAGCAAAAATTAAAAATCGTCAAATATTTACCACATATCACTCCTTGAGCTCCTCTATAATAACTTGGTGTTAAAGTACGAAACCGTTCTTGTCCAGCAGTATCCTGAAAAAAGTAGCAAATCTGAAGCAAATTTGAAATTTGAAAATGCAGACCGAAAAAATTCTTGAAAAATATATTTATGATTATTGCCATTTGTATTCCATTATAAATTAGGTTTTTAACACTATGATAAAAAGGCCAACTATTAAAACATAGTAGAACATATATCGAGAAATTTTACATTCCTCTGCTACGCGTTCGTCGTCCTAAGCACAAATTTAAATTTAAATAACCTGAATTAATAATATGACTGACAGAAGTATGAACTCAACCAGACGATAAATACGTGGCTAAGTCCTGGACACCGTAATGGAAATGTGATATATGATCATTAAGAGTAAAAAACAAAACAAAACAAAAAATACTTGCCCAGATGGCTAATTTCACCCGATTCTGATTAACCATCATTGATGTAACTCGAAAGTCAACTCCTTAATATGAATATAATCAGATACTTATTGGTAATGGTTTCAAAATATCAATCTCAAACCATTAAAAAAGCAAGTTATATAAAAACTAACCAATTGTAGCAGCAATTTCCGGATCAAATGTGTCATCCACAAACCTCAACATCAAGCTGAAATAAATCATAGTTGTTACAAAAATTCATGGAATTTTTGCACAAATTTGCCTTAGAGTGATGAATTAATTCCACTAAAATTTGCAGTTTATTTTCTCATCTCAATATGAACTACTCAACTACTCTAATAAAATCACTGTTTTCAAAATAATATTATATCATATAATATCATTCCTATCATAAAGTCTTCCATGACACCTTGCTACTTACATAATCTTTCTATTTATGAAGAAGCAAAGACGCTTCCTTAATTTCACTATCATACAAACTATCTACTATACTACGTATGTTTACGTATAGCAATACTTCATATTTCATAGGTATACATAAACGTTAAAAATAACCAAAAATAAACCTCGACTTTCCGACACCACTTTCACCGATGATTAAAATTTTCAACGTTGTAATTGCTGCACCTTCGTCATTCATTTCCTGAAATCAAAAATAATTTTTCTGTTCACGATTTATCGAAAAATTTAATCTTAACAAAACTGCTCCAGCATTCTTCCTCCAACACCTTTGCTCATCCGCAGGAAAAAACCGGAAAGCAGTACAACCTGAACCGGAATTAATAATAAGTAATCACTCATAGAATGAAATCTAAACAACCGTAACCTGACATTCTGTCCGGGAATCAATTTTTCACTGTTGTAACTCAATAGTTCAAAGTTTAAATTAAATGATAAAACACTAAAATAAATTGATTAATTTCTATTTACATTAAAAATTAAAAAAATAAGAAAATTAATTGAGAAATTTTAATAAACAACTGAGATGAAAATGTTTGAAAAAAGCGATATAATACAAAATATCAAATGAAATTAATATCAAATGAAAGAAAAAGAAAAAAATTTATCTTTCAACTTTTTCCAACAAAAAAAAGTCCTTTCTAATTTTCAATTCAATAACTTTGCTTTTTTAAAAAAAAATTTATTGAAAAAAAGATAATGTATTATGAAAGAATAAAGTTAAATTGTTTTTTGCTTTATTTTTTTTTTAATTTTGAAAATGCTTCTTGCTTCTTTGTCTTTTTTTATTTTAAATCAAACTATAAAATCATTATTTTTCTTCTTTTCTCATTTCACAAAAACAAAGCAAAAAAAAAAAGCTATTTCAAAAAAAAAAAAAAAGACTATTCTTTCAAAATAAATAAACTTAAAGATAAAACTTTTTTCTAAAAATGCATCCTTAATGAGAATGAATGTAATGAATCATTTTCTATTGATAATATATCACAAAATAATAGTCATTTCAATAATGTGAATAAATAAAAATAACGTTAAGCAAATTTTCTTCTTACAATTGTAAAAGATTAAAAATGCTTTTGCTTTTGCCTTTCTTTTTTTTTTTAAAGAAATGAAGAAAAAATGGTTTAATTTAGAATTTAACCCATTAAGCTTCTTCTTCTGCTTATCTCTCTCTCCCTCTCCCTCTCTCTCTCTCTCTCTCTCTCTCTTCCTTCTTAACCTTTTTGATTTATTTTTTGATATGATAAATGAATATTATCACATCGGTATATTTCATTTGTGCAGAGAGAGAGAGAGAGAGAAGAGAGAGGGAGAGAGAATTTATGCATATTTTTTTTAAATTAATTCCTTTACAAATTATAATTTATTCTTTACACAGTAAACGAATAATTAATATGAATTAGATTACAATTAATAATTTAAATTTGAAGAATTTAATAATTTTGTTCATAATTTTTTTGTTCTAATAAATTTCAATTTCTTAGAATTTGGTAAACACTTGTATTTGTGAAATGTTTAGAACTTTTTTTTTTTTCCTCTCCTCCTCAATATTAGAATTAAAAAAAATTTTTCAATTCAATTATTTCTTAATTTCTAAATTTATATAATGAAATGAACATTTTTTTTTGTTGTTGTTGTTGTTGTTGTTATGGTAAGATTTATAAGTTAATAAATGATTAAACTAATTAATTTATTTATGAAATAATTATTTTAAAAAAATTATTTAAATATTAGTTATGAGTTATACCAGATGTTTCAGTTTGAACAATAATTTTGTAAACAATTATAATATTAGTTAATGTACCCATACGAAATATAATACAATGTGAAAAATTGAAGATGCAAATCGCATAAATATAAATTTTATTGATTGTTTATTTTTTTTTTCCTTTTCTTTTCTTCTTTGTAAAGAAGAAAAAGCATCATTTCCAGGGCGCAAAATAGCCTATGGCGGAAATGTACCTAATGCTTTTGAAGAAATGAAATTTTCTAATGCTTTCTCTCTTATATTCGCCTACTTTTTCACCTTTTTTTTCTGTTTTATTATAAAATAATCGTTTATTTTTACATATTTTTCTTTTCTTTTTTTTTTTTTTTTCAATGAAATTTAAAATTGAATTTTACATTAATTAAAATCGATTCAATAATAATATTTGCATTTTTTTTTTCCTATCATAATTATAATAATAATTTCTCATCAAAAAGTGTTTTTTTTTTTCTTTTTGTCAAACAAATAAAAAATGATAGATTAATTTGTTCCTCTCATTAGCTAATTTTTTGTTTATTTTTATGCTAACTAAATTTTACACACATTTTCACAACATTTAATAATATGTATATATTAATAAATTAAAATTTAAAAAATGCATTTCATTTCATGCAAATAAATTCAAATGTAAAATCTATTTTGAAAAATTCTCAAAAAATTTTCAAAAATTATTTATTTTTATTTTTTATCTATTCTTCAAACTCTTTGTGCCATTTTTATTTTACATTTGTTATTGTTGTACCTTAGAAAATGACATGTATTTTAGAAAAGTTTTTGCTTTAGAAAGTTTAAAACAAATAGAAATGCTTGTAAACTATGCTTAAAATTTCAATTATTACACTTTTATTACTTTACTTCCTTTTACTTTATTACACTTTTTCCTCTGTTTTAGCAGTAATATTCCATTAAATGACGAACATTTCTCCCTTTTTTTTCTTTTTTTTTTTTTTTTTAATTAATCATTTTGTTAGCATTTTATTAAATTTATTAAATTATAGAAAGACCTATCGGCTATATATGTTCTAAATTTAAATTTCAAAATATATAAAGCAATGAGCAATAAGTCATTTCTTCTTTTATTATAATATTACTTCATTCATTTCACTTTGTCATTTTCAATTTTCTTTTTTTATTTTTCCTATTTGTATTTGTAATAATTTTTTTTTTTTTTTTTGTCATAAATAATTTGAAAATTTAAAAGTTTTATTACTTTTAATAAAATTATTAATTGATAATAATGAAATTAAATTGGCTTAATTTCTTCTTCATTATCAAACAAAATTCGAAACGAAAAAATTTATTAAAAGTTTCTTTAGCTTTTGTCCTCTTTGATTAAATGATAATATTTTAATTATAAATTCTAATTTTGATAACTTTTTCTTATCTCACTCTAAAAAAAAGAAAAAAAAAAAACGTAATGGTTTAATAAGTGACGTTTTTTATATTTCCGTCAATATTTTCACGTAAAAATCGTATGCCACGTAAAATTATTTTATGTAAGAAAATATGAAATAATTTTAATACAAATATAATAATTTTAGAACATCTAAAAATTAAAAAAAAAAAAGAAAAATAAATATAATTTTGAGGCTTTTACTCTTTTCATAACATTGAAATCATTTATTCAATTACTTATACTTATACCAATAGTATTTCAGGTGACAATTATAGGTAAATGAATAGCATTTTGAAACTTTTTGTAACTGTGACAAGAATAAATTTTCTTTATTACTTTTATTGTTAATAGCAAATTTGAATTTGAAGCTAATTCTAATTCCTCATCTAATCAAATCCACTTGATAAGTTTGCAAATTGCAATCAATTTGATCAGATCAAATGATAAAAAATCGTTTTTATCAAATTATATCAATAATTTATTAAATTACACTGATTTCTTTTATTTTTGTTACAATAAAAATTAATTATTAATCGAAATTACTACATTAAAAATGTAATAAAGCAATAAAGTGACCTTTAAAATTATTTCAAAAATGTCAAAGTTCAAATAATATTTACTACATTAAATATTTAATTTCATAAAAAATCTTATAAATATTAAAATATCTAAGAAAAAAAAAAAAAAAAGTGCACAAGAAAAATGTGAAAGTTTGATAAAATGATGTAAATTCATTTATTGCCATTTCTTTTTTTTTTTTTGTTCCATTTGCGCACATTTCCTCTTTTAATTTTCTTCGAGAATGCATATAGCATAAAAAAGTAGGAAAATAATGAGTTTGGTTCATCATTTTTAGCCTAGAAATTTTTATCAAACTAAATAATCTAATTATTAATTTGAATTTCATAAAATATTCCTATTTCTTTTTTTTTTTTTTTCTAGAAAGTTAGTTTTAATAAAATTTATTTTTGAAAACTATCCACAGTTTTATTTAGTTTGATAAAAGATAAAAGTAATGAGTATTTTAGAAGTATGCTAATTAAATGGTAAACTTTGTACTCTATAACATTACTTTATACTTTCACTACAAATGTAATCAAGTATTATGGTAAAAATTTGAAAATATCAACTAAACTTACTTACTTTATATTTATGCATTTTATAATTACTTATTTTATACTTACTTCTTTTATAATTAGTATTACTTAGTCATTTTATGTTTATCTATTTATTATGTGTCCAATTATTTCAAATTGTTCTGTTTGTGATTTATTCTTTTATAAACATTTTAAAATCTAAACTTAGAGAACTTTAATTTATGTCATTTGTTGTTAACCGTTAATTACTTGTTTAATTAACAATAATCAGAAAATTTTCTACTTCTTATAGCAATAAGAAGTAGATAAATATGATAATTGTTAATTAATAAAAATGAATTAATTAATAAAAATTTAATTAATAGAGAAAAGCTAAGCTTAATTAAGATGCATTGTATAATTGAGATAAATTTTTTGAAAATTTGTTGTTATCTTAATATAATCAAACCTATCAATCAATCATTTTCACTAACTTCGCATTCGTTGTTTTTCTTTTAGTATACACAATTTTAAATAATTTTAGTAAATTTTAGTTTTTGTTTTTGTTTTTCTCATTTTCAGTGTTAATATTTTTATCATTATTACGAGTTTAATAATATAAAATTAAAATAATTTATTTTTATTTTTCATATTTTCCTATGTTATTTTCAAATTATAATTGTAATAGTAAAATATGCTCTTTAGTTGTAATTATTTTTCTTTTTTTTAAAAAAAAAAAAAAAATCTCTCTAAATTTTTAATTGCTTCAATTTTTACTCAAAATTATTTTATTCTTATAAAAAGGATTTATTATAAAGTATTGTTAAACCAATTAACAAATATTATATATCATTTTAGAATTTAAATAAATTTTGAATCATAAATTTTTTATTGGTTGTTTTCATTTTTATCTTTCGATATTGCATTATAATTACTCATTT